TGACGGCCACACAAGGAGGTCTTGAGATGACGGCCACACAAGGAGGTCTTGAGATGACGGCCGCTTCACTAACTGCATGAAGCAACCAGCACGGTCAGATCCGAAAGGTAACAAAGCAAAACAGAAAACAACAAAAACGAGAAAAAAACGATGACGAAAAAGAGAAGTGCCGCCATGCGACGGGACGCGTCGCCGAGAGCCGCACGAAGCGCCGCGGCGGGAGAAGCCTCGCCAACCACCGGGCGACGGGAGAAGTGTCGCCAACCGCCGAGCGACGGGAGAAGCGTCTCCAGCCGAACGACGGGAGAAGCGTCGCCAACCGCCGAGTGAAGCGCCGTGCCAATCGCCGTGCGGTGGGAGAGGCGTCGCCGAGAGCCGCGCGATCCACGGAGGAAGAAACGTCGCGAATCGCCGTGTGAGGCTCCAAAACAGGGCGCTTTACTAACTGCAGGTAACAACGACCACGGTCAGAACTGAATGATAAAAATGCGAAACAGAAATGAACAAAAACGAGGAAAAAAAACGATGACGAAAAAGAGAAGTGCCGCCATGCGACGGGACGCGTCGCCGAGAGCCGCACGAAGCGCCGCGCAACGGGAGAAACGTCGCCAACCGCCGAGCGACGGTAGAAGCGTCGCCATGCGCCGAGCGACGGGAGAAGCGTCGCCAACCGTCAAGCGAAACGCCGTGCCAATCGCCGTGCGGTAGGAGAGGTGTCGCCAAGAGCCGCTCCAATCGCCGCTCCACGGAGGAAGAAACGTCGCGAATCACCGTGTGAAGCTCCAAAACAGGCCGCTTTACTGACTGCAGGTAACAACGACCACGGTCAGAACCGAATGATGAAAAAGCGAATCAGAAAACAATAGAAACGAGAAAAAAACGATGACGATAAAGAGAAGTGCCGCCATGCGAAGGGACGCGTCGCCGAGAGCCGCACGTAGCGCGGCGGAGTAGCGTCGCCAATTGCCGAGCGACGAGAGAAGTCGCCAAGCGCCGAGCGACGGGAGAAACGTCGCCAAGTGCCATGCGACTGCACCACGGAAACGACGCCAATCGCGGTGTGAAGCTCCACCAACGGGCCGCTTTCTTTTTTCTGCATATATCAACGAACAAGGTTAGCAACTTGGATGTAAATCGAGGATCAATAAAGCGACGAAGAACAATAAAGCGGGTGCCTTACCAAGCTGAAACCGAAGCTCGATTAGCGATGGTCAAACCATCAAGTTGTCATCGGCGCCGCCGCGTGAAGCGCCAAGGTCGCAGTTGCGTGAGCGAGAAGAAGGGAACATTGAACTTACCGAGATGAGCGGCGAGATGAGCTGAAGCGAGGTGACGACGTTAAGGCGAGAAGGACAGAGATAAACCGAACTTACCTCCGCGAGAGTCTTGATCTCACACGGGAGGAGATTGAAGGCCACACGGGATTGAAGGCCACACGGGATTGGAGCCCACACGGGATTGAAGACCACACGGGATTGGAGCCCACACGGGATTGGAGCCCACACGGGATTGGAGCCCACACGGGATTGGAGCCCACACGGGATTGGAGCCCACACGGGATTGGAGCCCACACGGGATTGGAGCCCACACGGGATTGGAGCCCACACAGGATTGGAGCCCACACGGGAATTTAACGGGAGTTCTCGCGGAGACCATGCCGCGAGAACCTCGGCGTCGTACAAGGATCAGCTCGAGGCAGCGCAGCTTTAACGACTCTCTAAGCTACCCAACCCATCCCACCCAGCTGCAGCATGCCAAGTGCTTCCTCTTGTACGAGCCGGTTTGGCTTCATTCATCACAAACTGCTCCGTGGAGCTTGTAGCCTAAAGGGTTCTTCTGAAGGTCCTTCGAATGGAATCGCGAAGGAAACAGAACGAGAATGTACTCCGTTGATTGTACTTGTAAGTTTCTCCAATGGGAGGTATGGGATGCTCGCTGTGAGCACAATGACTGCGGGAGACAAGAGAAGTCTGATTCAGGTGCTCCAGACCCAGAGTATCGAGTCAGGCAGGAGATCAAGCAGCGATGAATTCGACGAGCATGGTGTTGGGCGCAGGCCGCCCCGCGCGGCAGAGCGCGCCTTCAGTTCGAAAAGTGATGTGGTGCTGGGTGCAGAAGGGTGCGACACGGCAGCTCTTTCTGTGTGAAGTGCGGGAAGGGCTGGCATTGGTTAATTTTGTTGAATTGATGCGCTGGATTCCCATAGCATCCATCAACGGTGAAGATGGTTTCGAGCTATGAATGGAGCAGCTACTGTACGATGGAGATTTTCTCGAGGATGATCGCTGCAGCCGTCAATCATGACTCGTGGGGCCCGCGTGGGTAATGTCAGCGGAGAATGCCAGGAAATTTTGAGGCGGCTGAAGTGTATACAGTTCACAACATTCCAAACTCCATTGCAATACGATTTGAACACTTCAATTTTCAGTTGAGAATTCTGTTCAGTTTGGTTTGCATTGTGTTGCTGCAAACGAGTTTTGTTTGGGCGAGTATAGGTGGTTGGGTTTGGTGCGCACGCCAGGCAGGCACGAACCTTTTAGGAGGAAACTGACGTGGTACGCTCTGCTAGAAAGGGACCATGAGTTTTACTTAGTGAGGCCCGCGTGAGGCGCGGGATTGTGTGGTGTAGAACGGGGTAAGAATAAATGTTTGGCTGAATCCTCGCGAAGTTTAGCTGCTCTCGAAACTACCTTCGCTGCCTGTGAACCAGGTTCGGGCAGCAGAAATAGCTTGGAGTGGTTGAGATAAACAGTCTCGCGAGCCAATCGGAGTCGAGGGTGATTCGGTCACCCATCGTACAACTACCTTGCCCTTTCAACCAGCACCTCGCACCTTCTACTAGTTCACCGATGCACTCGTGCCCGTTATTTGTATTCGTTCCTTCTTAGTATATCTAGGCATGCCACCGTCGCTTCTTGGTGTCATTTCGTCATATCTAAGCGCGACCCAAGGCGTAGCACCGTAGATAGTGTCGCTGAAATCATGCGTAGTCCTTTAGTAGTCGCTTCACGTAATGATGTAAGTGCCGCCAGTAACTCTTACCAGAGAAATAGGTACCGACAGTTGCGCGCTTCAGATTGCATAAGGTAACCAGTAGTCGCACAATCTTTTCGAAGTTACTCAGTGCGGCTGGAATAGTAACGTTAGTTTTCAGATGGATTAGTAACATCGATTTGCGGACACATTAGCCGTGTCGATTTTTGGACACATTTCGGACGGATTAGTCAACATCGATCTGGCGGCCACCGTCGAATCACGGACACTTTCGATACGGGCGCATTAGTAGCTTCGGTTCGTACCCGTTAGATTCGACGCTGCCGACGATTGGTTGGCGTTAGGCAAGTCAAACGTCAAACGCGGTGATTAAGCGGATGCAGGTGATTTAGCGGATGCAGGTGATTAAGCGGATGCAGGTCCGTTAGCAAGCAAGTCGGTAGAAACGTGAAAAGGGGAAATGTAAAGGGGGTGGGGTGGGGGGTGCGTGCGGGGGAAGGGGGAGAGGGGAGGGAGGAGGAGTGGGAGTGGGGTGGTGGCGGGTGAAGGGGGGGAGGTGGGTAGAGATGGGGAGGGGGGATGGGGTGCGGGTTGCTGTTGGGTGGGGGGGACATTCCTCGTCTCCTCCCGCTCTTCCCTCATGTCCCCCCTCTCTCCCCCTCCTGCTTTTCCCTCATCTCTCCCTGCTCGTTCCGTACTCCTTCCTCGTCTTTGTACCCTCCCCCCGCATCTCCTCTCCCCTCCCTCCCCATTCCAATCAACTTCCCCTGCTCTACCCTCATTTTTTTTTCAATTCTCCCTTCATCTCCTCCGCTCTCCCCTCTTCTCGTTCCCCCCCACCTCTCATTCCCCCCCAACTTACCCCTAATTTCTGTTCCGATTTCCCGTCATCCCCGCCTGATTCCCTCCTCCTCCCTCCCCCATCAGCCCTCCTTTCCTTTCCCACTCACCCCCCATATTCCCTCACCCAGCCTCCATCCCCCATCATCTCCACCCCGCTCACCCCTCATATTTCACCCCACTCCCGCTCTCCCCCGTTCCACCAACTTACCTCTCCTCTTCCCACACTTACCCGTTACTGTTCCCCTGCCTTTTTCTTTCTCACACATCACATGCTCCCTTATACATTGCCTCTCATCTTCCCTCAATTATCCTCCCTCATATACCCAGGCTCCTCCTGGCCTTGTTAGCTGACTCTGTGTCTTGCCCTTGTGACTTTGTGCCTTTGCAGGCAAGGAGGTGAAGCGACTCTTTCTTTTACATTGCCCCCAACTTCCCTCAACCTCCCTCCTCTACCGTTCTTACAAAACCGACTCTGTGTCTCAGCCTTGTGACTTCGTGTGGGCCGCCTTTGTATATCGTCTTCGTGGCTTGTCTTTGCAGGCCAGGAGGCGAGGCGATGCAATGCAATGCGATCGGCTCCTTTCTTTTGCATTTTAGTTTGAAGTAGTATTACCACTTTGTCAGTCAATGCAGTAGTAGAACGCTGCGTGTACTGGTATTGTATGACTGCCAGCCAGCCCATATTGTTGCACTTTATGCAAGAGCTGTTTACTCTGTTCTGATGCTCTGCTGTGGCTTGTGCTTGTTTTGGGCATGGTTGCTTGCCATGCCTGGATAAATTCCTACCATATATCCTGTCATGGCTTTTAGCTTTCATTTACCTAGTTTGCTTTTAATACGAGGTAGTGTCTTCTTCTCACATACCCTACTGGTTATTGATCTACAAGAAGGAATGCTTGATTCGAAATTGAGCAGCAGTCACAGTCAGCAATGGGATGGCTGTACACGCACGGAAATGCCCATGGCCCTCATTTCTTCAAACAGCAGTTTCAAAGCATACGGCATGCACACCTGTGGGAAGGATGGAAGGAAAACACGCAATCAATTCAAAAGAAATGGTATGCAATACAACCCCATGGATGAGCACATGCCATGATGCCTCAACTCATCCAGCAGCTTCATGGCATAGGTCTCTATGGCCTTGAGGCGCCTCAAAAGTGGGCTCATGGGTCATGTGTAGCACCACAGACGCCTGTGTAGTGCTTCACTTCACATGACTGGCACACTCCAACACGCACACATGCGACATGATGCTACATCGCATGGCATACCTCTGTGGTGTTTGTGCTGCTTCCACACGACTGGCACCCAGGGCCATGACGATCACTCCCCTCTCCTCCAGGTTACCTTTGCACACATGCATACATACTGTTGCATCGCATGACATACCTCTGTGGTGTTCATGCTGCTTCCACACGACTGGCACACCGGGCCATGACAATCACTCCCCTCTCCTCCAAAACCACCGAAACCACCACCACCAGCTGTAGCACCAGCAGCAGCACCAGCAGCAGCGTAACCATCAAACCCGCTGCCACCACCACCCGCCCCAAGTCCTCCTCCCGCAGATCCACCTGTCCCGAGTCCACCTCCCCTAGAGCCACCGGCCGCAGTGGCGATGAGGCGGCAGGCAGAGCAGACAGCGACAGCGGTGGCGTCTGAGAGGAGAGAGAGGCGCTCTGAGAGGGAGTGCGCTGCCCCGTGCGCCACCAGGCAGTCCCTCTCCATCTCCCCCACCCGCATGCCCCCCTGCTGCGCGCGGCCTTTCGTGGGCTGGCGCGTGGTCATCTGTAATGTGTTAGAAGGGATAGTGCGGGGTGGGATGCGGTGAAAGGGAAGGGAAAAGGGGGTCAGGCAGGAGAGAAAAGAAGCAGCTAGAGCAGCAGAAAGCAAGAACGGTGGCGTCTGAGAGGAGAGAGAGCAGGTGAGAGGAGGGAGAGGCGCTCAGAGAGGGAGTGCGCTGCCCCGTGCGCCACGAGACAGTCCCTCTCCATCTCCCCCACCCGCATGCCCCCCTGCTGCGCCCTGCCCTTGGTAGGCTGGCGGGTGGTCATCTGTTGGGTGTGTGTGGGGGCGTGAGGGGAAAGGAGAGAGCACAAGGTATGGTGAATGGTAGGAGAGTGTGTAGGTGGGATGACGTTTAGGAGGGAGGGTGGTTAGGAGGGGAAGTGGGTGAGAGGGAGGGTGAGTAGGAGCGACGCATCTCACCTGCTTGGTCCCAATAGCCCGTGTGGCTCGCTTGTCGGCTGCCAGGAGCTTCAGTCGCAGGTAGTGAGTGGGACTCACAAACACCCTCCCCTCCATCTCTACTCTTGGACTTGTATGGATTCACGCACATGCCACCGCACCGTGCACCACCACACATCACCTCGCATTACCGCTCATCACCGCATCGCACCTGCTTGGTCCCAATGGCCCGTGTAGCTCTCTTGTCCCCTGCCAAATGTTTCAGACGCAGGTAGTGCGTGGGGCCGACAAACACCCTCCCCTCCATCTCCCGCCCCGTCACCCCACAGTATGCAATGTCTTTGCCCAAATCCAGAGGTGAGTAGCCGCAACTGGAAGGAGGGATGGGTGAGGAGGGTAGAAAAAGAGCAGCTATCAACATCTCTCGCCCCGTAACCCCGCACTATGCAACGTCCTTGCCCAAGTCAAGAGGAGAGTAGCCGCAACTGATGGTAGGGACGGGGGAAATGGAGGAGAATAGGGCAGCATCAAGAGGTCCGTGGCGGTGGGAATGGGTGGGGTGGTGTGGGGTGGGATGGGGAAGGTGGACTCCAGGGTATCGGTGCATGGGTAGAACATGAACAGAGAATTACCGCTAGTACCAACTCAAAGGGTGTCTGTCTGAGTACACACCCGCAGCACACAGTACCCTATCCAAAGGGAAAGTTCTGAGTAGCCACAACTGGTTTCAGAGAAGGGGCAGCGAGACTAGAGTAAGGGTGGAGAGGAGAGGGAATACCTGCGCAGCCGGTGCTGTGCTTCAGAAAGAAGGTCCGAGCCCCAGAGGTCAGAGGAGCAGGGGGTGAGTGTGTAAGGGGGAGAACGCGAAGGTGACGAGGCGAGTATACCTGCGCAGCCGGTGCTGTGCTTCAGACAAAAGGTCCGAGCCCCAGAGGTCAGAGGAGCAGGCGGAGAAGGCCGAGAGGGTACTCTTGCTGTTTGTCTCTTGCACGGGAGAGCACGCCACCTGTGAATGATGGGACAGGATGAAAGATGGAGAATGGATGATGGAGGCCGGAGATGGGAGAGGGGAGAGAGTAGGATGGAGGGAGGAAGGGGGAGGGGATATCTCCAAGCTGCCTTCTGTTGCTTATCTCTTGCACGGGAGAGCACGAATCCTGTACAGGAGGAAGGATGGAGGGGCCTCTAGCGGCTCTCCTGTTGCTGAAGATGTGGCGCGCTGTGGTGCAGTGCTGTGCAGGCTGGTGCGTATTTTACCTTAGCAAAGAGTGCTGTGCAGGCCGGTGCAGTGCAATGCTGACTGTACCTTGGCGAACAGTGCTTCCATGACTTGCCCCAGGGTCATGCAGGAGGGCAGCACGCGTGGGTTGATCACCAGATCCGGTACCACCCCTGTTGGTGCAGTGCACTGTGGTGCAGTGCAGTGCAATGCGGTGCTATCCATACGTACCTTGGCGAACAGTGCTTCCATGACTTGCCCCAGGGTCATGCGGGAGGGCAGCGCGTGGGGGTTGATCACCAGATTCGGTACCACCCCTAGCGGGGCTTCCACTGCTGAAGGTGCGGTGCACTGCGGCGCAGTTCGGTGCGATGTTGTGCAGTGCGGTGCAGTGCAATGCTGACTGTACCTTGGCGAAGAGTGCTTCCATGACTTGCCCCAGTGTCATGCGGGAGGGCAGCACGTGGGGGTTGATCACTAGATCTGGTACCACCCCTAGTGGCGCTCCCACTGGTGTAGGTACGGTGCAGTGCGGTGCAATGCGGTGCACTGTGGTGCTGTGTGGTGCATTGCGGTGCGAGCTGGTGCTGACCGTACCTTAGCAAAGAGGGCTTCCATGACTTGCCCTAGAGTCATGCGGGAGGGCAGCGCGTGTGGGTTGATCACCAAGTCTGGTACCACCCCTAAGGGCGCTCCCACTGCTGTAGGTGCACCAGCAGCAGCTGGACTACTCATTTCAGCAGCACCAACTCCAGCAGCAGCAGCACCGGCAGCAGCGGCAGCGGCAGTGGCAGCACCCGAACCGGCAGCAGCAGAAGGAGGCTTTAGAGAGGAACTGATTCTGGCGACACCGTCGAACCAGGGCAGGTCGTGGGACGGCAGGACGCGGCCAATGACCCCCTTCTGCCCGTGCCGACTGGTTAGCTTGTCGCCCACTTCTGGTCGCAGTGTGGCACGCAGACGAACCTGGGGAGGGGAGAAAGAGAGGAAGGAGAGAGCGATGAGAAAGGTGTTGTGTACAGAGGCAAAGAGACAGACTCACAAGGGACAGACAGACACATTACCCTTCCCAGCCGCACGCCACGACCGCCCATGACCACGCGAGCAGCATCCACTATGCCACCTTCTCCCCGTGAGATGAGACGATTTTTGAGTCGACTAAAAAATCGTCTCATCTCACGACCGTCCATGACCATGCGAGCAGCATCCACTATGCCGCCTTCTCCCCGTGCCTGTGTGCGTGCCGTGCTTGTCAGCTCATCCCCACCCCAATCTAGGCCCAAGCGTGGAGAGAAGCCAACGCCAACAATCCAAGAGACTCACCCTGCCCAGCCGCACGCCGCGACTATCCACGTCCATGCGAGCAGCATCCACTATGCTGCATCTTCCCTTCACAAACAGACTGGCACACCCACCCACAGACTGGCACACCCACCCACAGACTGGCACACCCACCCACAGACTGGCACACCCACCCACAGACTGGCACACCCACCCACAGACTGGCACACCCACCCACAGACTGGCACACCCACCCACAGACTGGCACACCCACCCACAGACTGGCACACCCACCCACAGACTGGCACACCCACCCACAGACTGGCACACCCACCCACAGACTGGCACACCCACCCACAGACTGGCACACCCACCCACAGACTGGCACACCCACCCACAGACTGGCACACCCACCCACAGACTGGCACACCCACCCACAGACTGGCACACCCACCCACAGACTGGCACACCCACCCACAGACTGGCACACCCACCCACAGACTGGCACACCCACCCACAGACTGGCACACCCACCCACAGACTGGCACACCCACCCACAGACTGGCACACCCACCCACAGACTGGCACACCCACCCACAGACTGGCACACCCACCCACAGACTGGCACACCCACCCACAGACTGGCACACCCACCCACAGACTGGCACACCCACCCACAGACTGTCATACCACCCACAGACTGTCATACCCACCCACAGACTGTCATACCCACCCACAGACTGTCATACCCACCCACAGACTGTCATACCCACCCACAGACTGTCATACCCACCCACAGACTGTCATACCCACCCACAGACTGGCACACCCACCCACAGACTGTCATACCCACCCACAGACTGTCATACCCACCCACAGACTGTCATACCCACCCACAGACTGTCATACCCACCCACAGACTGTCATACCCACCCACAGACTGTCATACCCACCCACAGACTGTCATACCCACCCACAGACTGTCATACCCACCCACAGACTGTCATACCCACCCACAGACTGTCATACCCACCCACAGACTGTCATACCCACCCACAGACTGTCATACCCACCCACAGACTGTCATACCCCCAGACTCACTCTGTGCACGAGCGGGACTTACCCTCCCCAGCCGCACGCCGTGACTGTCCATGTCCATGCGAGCAGCATCCACAATCCCGCCTCCCCCCTCCACTTGAGACACCATCAGATTACGAACTTTCTCCTCCTCCCCTGTGGCCGTCAGTCGGGGCAGCTGAGAAATACGGGCAAGGGAGGGGAGAGACACGAGGTATACTCTGAGAACCAGCACCTCTCAGCACCATGCGAGCAGTGTCCACCATGCCACCTCCCCCTTCCAGCTGAAACTCCTTGAGACTGCAAAATCGCTCTTCCTCGCCTGTGGCAGTGAGGAATGGGCGGTTGGAGGGGAGGGAGCGAGAAGGAAGGGAACAGGCGGGGAGAGGCGATGTTCATGCGATGGAGAGCTGAAACACTGCTTGTTCCTTGACAGTATGCACTCACCCCTACGGCTCTAGACATGGCTCCAATATGCACGACTTTCGTCAATGCACGTAATCTCTAGATATGCACACTCACACCAGCAAAAACGTTTACTCACCCCAGCCGCCATGTGGCCAATCAGAACGGCTCTCTCCCTCCCCTTAAACACACCTCGATGTTTGGTTCAACTCAGTAGACCCTACCCCGGATATGCGCTCATTCATTCCAGCAGTTACCCCTGCAACCCTCTCAAGTCTTACCCCTGCCGGCCGCCACATGGCCGATTAGAACGGCTCTCTCCCTCCTCTCAAACACACCTCGATTTTTCTTTTCGAGGCGTCTCTCAACTCAACTCAAGCCCACTGCAACCCTCAAACACTCACCCCGGCTGCCACGTGGCCAATCAGAACGGCTCTCTCCCTCCCTCCAAACACACCTCGATCCGCCACACTCCTCCCCCACACCCCCGCGCTCCCTCCCCCCACGCCCGAGCTACAGTAAACCCTAATCCCTGCCACCTTCTCTCCTGTTGCCCCCTCCACTGCGCTTGCCCCCCCTGCCCCTGCTCCCCCAACCTCCCCTCCTGTCCCACCTCCCCCATTTCCCATCCCCCCTCCCCCATCTCCCATCCACGTTCCCCCATCGCCCATCCCCCCTTCCCCATCGCCTGTTGTCCCCCCAACCACTTCTCCCGGCCACAGCAACGGATGGCCCACTTTTGGAAGCCCATTCTCCCCCAGATGATCATACTGGGACCATCTCTTAGGCCTCTCCTGCCGTTCTCTCCGCTCCCTCTGCTCTCCATGATAGTCTCGCCCCCCTCTCCCTCCACCTCCTCTGCCTCCCTGGAAATCCCCTTCTCCTCTTCCCCTCCCCCTGCCCCTCCCCCTGCCCCTGCCCCTGCCCCTGCCTCTTTCTCCTCCCCCAAAGCTTCTCCCCTCCTCTTCTCCCCCATCTTCCCCCCATCCGCCTCCCCCTCCTCCCCCCCATCGGTTCCCCCCATCTCGATCTCCCCTAAACTCATGCTCTCCTCCCCCTCCACCTTCCCCTTCTCCACCTCCCCCCCACCCACCTCCCCCTCCTCCCCCCCATCCACCTCCCCCTGATCCGCCTCCCCCCCATCCAGTCCCCCCTCCTCCATCGTCCCCCCCATCCCCTCTCTCCCTGTCTCCCCACGAATCGTTTTCCCTCCCCCTTCCCCTTCCCCTCCCGCGACCCCTCCCCCTTCCTCCCCTCCCCCTCCACCCCCTTTCCCCCCTTCCGCCCTCGTCTCCCCCGTCCTCTCTACCTCTCCACCCATCCCCACCTCCTCTTCCGCCTCCCCACCCATCCCCACCACCCCCACCATCCCCACCACCCCCTCCTCCTCCCCACCCGTCCTCTCCATCTCTTGTGTTCTCAGCAGCCCCATCACCCTCACCCTGCCCTCTCTCCTTACCCCAACCTCCCCCGCCCCACCCTCCTCCCCCTCCCCCACCTCCTCCCCATCCCCCCTCTCCACCCCCTCCTCCCCATCCCCCTCCCGCCCCACTCGCACCAGCACCAGCGGCAGCATCACCCGTACCACCCCAACCACCCCCACCACCACCAGCTGCAGCATCACCACCCCAACCACTCCCACCAGCACCACCATTACCACCAGCACCATCACCGCCCCAACCACCCCCACCCTCACCAGCAGCACCAGCACCAGCGGCAGCATCACCCGCACCACCCCAACCACCCTCACCGGCATTACCAGCGCCAACAGCAGAAGCACCACCACCACCCCAACCACCCCCACCCTCACCAGCACCACCAGCACCAGCTGCAGCACCTGTACCACCCCAACCACCCCCACCAGCACCGCCACAACCAGCACCCCCACCATCACCCTTACCACCCCAACCACCCCCACCATCACCAGCAGCAGAACCACCCCCCCATCCAGCCCCACCAGCCCCACCACCAGCACCACCAGCAGCACCACCACCACCCCAACCACCCTCACCAGCAGCACCAGCACTACCAGCGGCAGCATCACCAGCGGCAGCATCACCCGTACCACCCCAACCACCCCCACTAGCAGCAACAGCACCAGATGCATCACCAGCACCACCAGCACTACCACCACCAACAGCATCACCTGTACCACCCCAACCGTCCCCACCACCAGCAGCAGCATCAACATGAGCATGAGTATCAGTATCAGCATCAGCATGAGCATCAGCATTAGCAGTCCCCCATCCACCACGACTAGTACCACCACCACTACCAGCACCCCACCCTCCTCCCCCTCCTCCTCCCCTTCCTTCCCTTCCCCCCCCTCCTTCCTCTCCTCTCCCTCCCCCTCCTCCTCCCTCTCCTTCCCCTCGGCCCCATCCCCCACTGCCATTCAACTCACCACCCTCGCCCCCCTCCTTGTCACTTGCACCCCACCCCCCTGCTTCTGCTGTTGCTGCTGTTCCTCCCTCTCTTCCTCTATCCTCCTCATCACCACCACCCCCACCCCAACCACCAGCATCAGCAGCATTAGCAGCACCACTCCCCCACCCACCACCACGACCAGCAACACCAGCAGTATCAGCACCATCATCACCAGCAGCATCACCATTATCAGCGCCACTAGCGCCAGCAGCAGCACCCCTACCTCCCCCTCCTCCCCCTCCTTCCCCTCCTTCCCCTCCTCCACTGTCATTTAACCCACCACCCTCGCCCCCCTCCTTGCCACTTGCACCCCATCCCCCTGCTTCTGCTGCAGCCCCTCCTCCTACTCTTCCTGTATCTTCCTCATTACCCCATGCGCCACTCTCACCAGTACCACCACCACCCCCACCAGCACCCTCACCACTCCCACCCGCATCACCACCCCAACCATCCCCACCATCCCTACGAGCAGCAGAATCAGCAGCACCACTCCCCCACTCGCCACCAGGACCAACAGCACCACTGTTATCCACACCAGCGGCAGCAACAGCACCATCACCATCACCATCACCATTACCACCACCCCACCCACCATCCCCATCCTCCCCACCTTCAGCACCAGCAGCAGCATCAGCAGCATCACTCCCGCACCCACCACCACTGTTATCCGCACCAGCGGCAGCAGCAGCAGTACCATCACCCTCACCCCACCCAACACCCCCACCTGCCCCACCTGCTGCTTCACTCCCACCCCACCCACCACCCCCACCCTCTGCCCTCTCACTTTCGCCCCACCCACCATTCCCACCCTCCTCCCTCTCACTCCTCTCACTCCTCTCACCCCACCCTGTTCCTTCTCCTCCTGTTGTTCCTGCCCCTGCTCCTACTTCTGCTGCTCCTGCTCCTTCTTCATTCTGAGGCATCTCAGCATCTGCTGCTGCTGCCCCTGACCCTCCTGCTTGCTTCCCCCATGCACCCGTCTCTTGAATCACTGCCACGTCATCATCTCGCTTGACCGCCACGTCATCATCACCTTGCCACGTGGCATCCTTCTCGTCAGCCTGCGCCATCGCCACGTCAGCATCATCTTCATCTTGTGTGAGATCAATGGGCTCTGCCTTGGCTCGAATGGGTCGTCCCTCTTCTTGTCCACCTCTCCTTCCCCTCCTCTGCCGACCGTCATCACCATCACCAGCAGCAGCACCACCACGACCATTACTGGAAGCACCACCAGCAGTACCAGCACCAGCATCATCATCACTATCAGTAAGACCGTCTGCATCCCACCCCGCGCGCCCCGCCTTCCCTGCAGCCGCCTTTTGAGGCGCCTCAGAAGTCGCACCAGCAGCAGCACCACTGCCAGCACCAGCACCAGCACCAGCACCAGCACCAGCAGCACCGCCAGCAGCAGCATCATTATCGCTATCGGTAAGACCATCCGCATCCCATCCCGCATGCCCAGCTTTTCCAGAAGCAGCAGCTACTTCCGCTCCTTCCCCTCCTCCCTCTCCTCCCATTCCTCCTCCTCCTTCCCCTTCCCCTCCTCCCCTTCCTTCCCCCCCTCCTCTCCCTCCTCCTCCCCATCCTCCCGCTCCTCCCCCCATGCCCGCCTCACCTGTCCCTCTATCCCCTCCCCATCCTGTATCCCCGCCTCCCCCTCCTCCTCCCCCGCCCCAACCTCCCCCCGTCTCTCCCACTCCCCCTCCCCCGCCCCAACCTCCCCCCGTCTCTCCCACTCCCCTTCCCCCGCCCCAACCTCCCCCTGTCTCTCCCCCTCCCCCTCCTCCCCAAGCCCCGGCCCCACCGTCTCCACCTCCCCCCCAACCCCCTCCTCCACCCCCTCCTTCCCCATTCCCTCCCCCCCACCCCCCACCACCTCCCCCTTCCACTCCCTTCCCTCCCCACCCATCCCCACCTCCCTCTTCCACCTCCATCTCCCCCACACCAACTCCCAAACCAGCAGGCTCGGCAGCCCCGGGCCAAGCCGCTCCTGCCCCCCCGTCCTGGCTCGGTTTGCCGAACCTCCAGGTCACTTCCACCTTGCCCCGACCAGCCTTGCCCTGCCAGGAGGCAAACGAGAGGGAAACGGAGGAGTTACAAGTTCATACCAGAGCATTACTGGCATGGGATGGGAACATGGGAATGCTTTTGAGTCCGCAAAAATCACCTCCAGACCACCTCCACCCTGCCCCGACCAGCCTTGCCCTGCCAACAGGCAAACGAGAGAGAAAAAGGAGTTTCTAGGCTATAGCCGGTTGAAAAACTAGCACGAGACTCACCTTACGCTCTTTGAGCCATTTAAACAGAAACAAGACGGCAAGAAGAATTGGGTAGGGTGACTGATTCTGCTCTTCCACGAAGCTTCTTGAGACGTCTCAAGAATTGCCCTTCTGAGAAGTTTCAAAACTGTCTACAGCGCAGCTCACCTCCTCTTCCACGAAGCTTCTGAAGGTGGTGCTGCCAAACAGCCCTCTATCGACCGATGCCTGGTTGATGATCAACGCATCCTCCTGGTGTGCGGAGGAGAGAGGGGAGGGGGTCGGAAAGCAGCAAGGCATTTGAGGCGTTTCAAAAGGCGTACTTCTGAAGGTGGTGCTGCCAAACAGCCCTCTATCGACCGATGCCTGGTTGATGATCAACGCATCCTCCTGGTGTGCGGAGGAGAGAGGGGAGGGGGTCGGAAAGCAGCAAGGCATTTGAGGCGTTTCAAAAGGCGTACTTCTGAAGGTGGTGCTGCCAAACAGCCCTCTATCGACCGACGCCTGGTTGATGATCAACGCATCCTCCTGATGGGTGGAAGGGGGGGAAGAGAGGAGGAGGACGAGGAAGGGGAGGAGAGAGGAAGGTAGTGGGAAACAGCAACGAGGGTCACACCATAGGCTGCCGAACAGCCCTCTATCGACCGACGCCTGGTTGATGATCAGAGCATCCTCCTGATGGGTGAGGCCCGGGGGGAGGGGGCGGTAAGGAAGGGGGAGGATGCACCGATGGTGGGAAAAGGAATAAGATGGGGGAGAAGGTGGGAGAGGGAGGGTTCGAGGAAAGAGCTGCCAAACAGCACACATCACAGCTACGATGGCGCTGCTGCGAAATTCCAAACGACCCACTGATGAAGTCTAAAAGGCTCATGGCTAGCTGTGAAATTCTGGAAGCCACGAGAGGGTGCTGGAGGTAGTGCAGAGCAGGGCGAAGCGTAGAGAAGAGCCTGTATACCTGCCAGCACCGCACTGTACCTGGTTGTATCCAGCGCTCAGGACAGCAACAATGGCGTTCTGCCCATTGGAAAAACCCGCCAGGCCTGTGGCAAGCTCTGCTACTCTGGAAGCCACGAGAGGGCGCTGGGGGTAGTGCAGAGCAGAGCAGAGCAGAGCAGAGAGAAGAGCGTGCACAGTGCACCCATTCCCACCTACCACAACCGCACTGTACCTGGTTGTATCCAGCGCTCATCACAGCGACGATGGCGTTCTGCCCATTGGGGAAGTCTGCCAGGCCCGTGGCGAGTTCTGCAATTTTGGATGCCACAAGCGGGCGCTGGGGGTAGTGCAGAGCAAAGAGCGTGCGATCGGGGCGATGAGGGAGGTTGTACGCTGGCATGCCCATGGCCTGTACGGGAGGTAGGGGGGAAGGAGGAACGAGAGGGAGAAGGGCAGGGGGAGTGGGGGGGGGGGGTGGTGGGAAGAGAAAAGAGAAAAAGCGGAATGGGGAAGAGCGAAGAACGTAAGATCGGGGCGATGAGGGAGGTTGTACGCTGGCATGCCCATGGCCTGTAGGACAGAAGACGTGGGGAGATGGAAGAAGGAGAGGGGATCAGCCAGGCTTGCGGCAGTCTCTGGTCCGGAGGCCACAAGCGGGCGCTGCGGGTAGTGCAGAGCGAAGAGCGTGCGGTCGGAGCGATGGGGGAGGTTGTATACTGGCATGCCCATGGCCTGTAGGGAAGAGGGGAGAGGAGGAACGAGAGGGAGAAGTCAGGCAGACATACACACAGACAGGCACTCTAATGGCCACGAGGGGCCGCTGCGGGTAGTGCAGAGGGAAGAGCGTGCGGTCGGAGCGATGGGGGAGGTTGTATGCTGGCATGCCCATGGCCTGTAGGGAAGAGTAGGGGAGAAAGAGAGGCGATTTTTTCCGAGAGAATAACCAACGCCCATACAATCAGCTCACCTCTGCCTTATTCAGCTCCCCCAGCTCCGGACTAATCGTACAAGAATAATACTTAAGCGCCTCAAACATACCTGTTTGAACATGTGTGCGGCGCCCGTGCTGCGAGAAACGCCGTTGTGATTCACAAACGGCAGGGCCGATGCAATCGCTCCAAAGATGAGCTCTGGATGGATCTCCACGTGGGAGTGGCGAGCAGATGCAGCCAAACCAGGTGAGCCCAGACGAAAGGCGAGTCCAGACAACAGAGTAGAGTCGGGAGACTGCTGCCTAGCATTCCGTGCTGCTCCGTTTTCATCCCATGGGCTTGCTGCTCCGAACACGACGAGTCCCCGGCTGTGCTGTTCAGCAGCCAGGAGCGGTTCTGCTGGGGCAGCAACGCAGTTAGCCGCCTCCTCTGCTGCATCTACATACTCCACCGCCCCTGATGCTAGCATCTCCTGCCACGCCTGCTCCCAGCTGTGGCTGTTGCTGTTGCTGCTGCTGTTGGTATTGTGAGGCAGGTCGATGGGCGGCTGCTGCAGCAGCAAGGGGCGGAGGATGCGACCAGGGGAGGAGGCGAGGTGCAGGGAGTGCAGCGCGGGGTGAAAGGCCATGCCCAGCTGACAGGGAGAAGCGGCAGAGTTGGGGGGAGGAGGCAGGGGGGAAGGATGGGAGGAGGGGAAATAGGAAAACAAACGAGTCAAATGAATAGTCACCACGTTGAGATGGGAGGAGGTGAGGTGGAGGGAGTGCAGGGCGGGGTGATAGGCCATTCCCAGCTGACAGGGGGTGCAGGGGAGTGAGATGACACGGTGAAATAGGGTGAAATGCGGTGTTAGAAAAAGGGGAAAGTGAAAAGCGGTAACAAGAGAAGAAAGGGAGAGACCAGCGAGCAGTAGAAGGTTAGGTTTAGAAGCAGTCATTCGGTAGTAGCTCGATCATACAAGGAAAAGAAACAAGGGAAGTGAACAGAAAGGGAATATACACACCTCTCTGTATCTCTTGGCGCCCTTTTGTCTCTTCCTCCTCAGCTGCCTAGTCAGCTCTGCCAGGTCAGCATGCCACCCGACTGGCCGCCCATTGACCCATACTTCCCCCCCTCCTCCTCCTCCTCCTCCTCCTCCTCCTCCTCCTCCTCCTCCTCCTCCTCCTCCTCCTCCTCCTCCTCCTCCTCCTCCTCCTCCTCCTCCTCCTCTCACCCCCTCACCCTCCTCCTTCCTCTCTCTTAAGGCCTCCAGTAGGACCATGCCACGTGTCTGCAGCTCCTTCACCAGCCACCAATCACCAAACGCCATGTCACCCTGCACACCCATCGCACTTCCATCCTTCTGCATCCCACCACCTTTTGCTGCACCGCGTCCTTCTCCCTTACCCTTTCTCACACCACCACCACCATCATCATCATCATCTAAAGCCCAAGCGTTATTAGCACCGTCACCAATGTCATCCAAAGCCCAAATGTCATCATCACCACTCTCAACCGCTTTCGCACCATCTCCTTCCCTTTCTTTCCCGTCTTCCTCCGTATCCTCTTCTTCCTCCTCCCCCCCATCTCCAGAGACGCAGGTAGCAAGGGCAAGGTTAAGTGAAAACCCTATTGCCTCGGACTTGGGGGTTTCAAGTGGGCAGATGCGGCCAAAGAATGTCGCATGGCTAGTATGGGGTCGGGGAGAGAAAGCGTGGGTGGGTAGGCAGAGGGAGGAACGGGGGAGGGTGGGGAAATGGACCTTCAAGGGAGAACCCTATTGCCTAGGACTTGGGGGTTTCAAGTGGGCAGATGCGGCCAAAAAAAATCGCATGGCTGGAATAAGGGGGGGAGCAGGGGTGGGGTTTGGGAGGTGGGGGAGAGGGGGGGGATACGTGGAGAGTAAGGTTCATTTATGCATAATATAATATATACAATGGAACTTCAACACTATACACTGGCTGGCCCATATATACACAACTACATTATTATAGTTGCAGCTACGCACATCTACATTCCTTGAGTTGAGAGGGTGCATTCAAGAAGCAACTCACATCTGTCTGGCAGCAGCAGAGGTGTTGGATCGATGGGAAGGCACCACCACCATCCTCCTCAGGTGTGTCAGCGCCGCAGCAGCAGACAGCCAACGGTCATTGAGTTGAGAGGATTTTGCAAGTGCATTAACCAAGAAACTCACATCTGCCTTGCAGCAGCCGAGGTGTTGGCCCTGTGAAAAGGCATCTCCATCCTCCTCAGGTGCGACAGTGCCGCAGCAGCAGACAGCCGGTTGAGCGGCTCACTCGCATGCAGACTGCTGCTGCTCGTCCCGTACCACCGGACCAGTCTACCAACCCCCAGACGCCTCAAAAGGTGTGACCGTGCCGCAACAGAAGAAGGCAAGCACTCCTTGGGATGGGAGAAGGTAGAGAAGCAAGAGACTCACATCTGTCTGGCGGCGGCAGACGTGTTGGCCCTGTGAGAAGGCACCTCCATCCTCCTCAGGTGCGACAGTGCCGCAGCAGCAGACAGCCGGTTGAGCGGCTCACTCGCATGCAGACTGCTGCTGCTCGTCCCATACCACCAGACCAGTCTACCACCCCCCAGACGCCTCAAAAGGTGTGACCGTGCCGCAACAGAAGAAGGCAAGCACTCCTTGGGATGGGAGAAGGTAGAGAAGCAAGAGACTCACATCTGTCTGGCGGCGGCAGACGTGCTGGCCCTGTGAGAAGGCACCTCCATCCTCCTCAGGTGCGACAGTGCCGCAGCAGCAGACAGCCGGTTGAGCGGCTCACTCGCATGCAGACTGCTGCTGCTCGTCCCGTACCACCCACCAGACGTGTCAAAAGGTGACAATGCTGCAGCAGCAGAAAGCAAGAAACTCACATCTGCCTAGCTGCAGCAGAGGTGTTGGATCGATGGGAAGGCACCTCCATCCTCCTCAGGTGCGACAGTGCCGCAGCAGCAGACAGCCGGTTGAGCGGCTCACTCGCATGCAGACTGCTGCTGCTCGTCCCATACCACCCTCCGCCGAACCTGCCCTGGCTGCCGCTGCCGAACCTGCCGCCTTTGGCTCGGCCGTAGCTCCCGGGCCGGTGCCAGTTTCCAGTTGCTAGAGCCGGCTGGAAGCAAGGGGAGGGATAGGAAACAGAGTAAGCGAGAGGGTGAGCTAGCGCAGGTGAATGAGTGAGTGAGTGAGTGAGTGGCAGAGTCAGTGAGCGAGTGAGTGGCAGAGTCAGTGAGCGAGTGAGTGAGTGAGAGAGTGTGAGTGAGTGACAGAGTGATTGATTAGAGCGGCACTGCAGTCTCTTCAGATACCCCAGCAGCCCCACCCCCCTCTCCTTGCATTGCAAGTACTGCCTGATTCGATATTAACTGCACAACTTACCCTCTCCCTGAAACTGAATCCTCTTTTACCTGTCTGATCTGATCCCCTCTTAACTGACCCCTGCTTTCACTCACCTCCAAATTCCAATCGCAGTGAGATGAGATGCAGTCTTTGCTCACAAACGCACAGCACTGCAGCTTCTGACGAGTCGACAAAAGTCAACTCCTTTCACTCACCTCCAGTCGCAGTGAAATGCAGTCTCTGTTCACAAACGCACAGCACTGCAGCCTCTTCAGATAACTCAGCAGCCCCTCCCTCCTCTCCTCCCCCACCGCCGCTGCCACTACCACCCCCCTCCCCTCCCTCCCCCACCCCATCCTCGTGCTGCTGACTGTACCACTGCTGACGTGGCTCCTGAGAGACCTGCTGACGTGGCGGGTGACCTCACGCTCGATCCACCAGCACAGGCTGTCCAGCCCTGCGACGAACTGGTCTTCCAGAAGCTTCCCGGAGGTTTCCACGCGGAGGTGCGTCAGGCTGCGAGGGTCATCCTGTTGTGAGAGTAAATTGAACGAAACCAATGCACTTGGTTAAATGGATTGAATAATTTTGATAGATACAGAAAATTACATTTTTTATTAAGCGGTACAATTTGTTGAAGCAGGTAGAGTGATCAGTTGAGAATTCTCAAGAGTAACGCCAACTTAGAGTAGAGCCTCCCAGCAATGCATCCAAGAAAACTCAGCGGAGGAATATATCCAAGGCTGGGAGCAAGGTAACAGAACCAACAGAGCCAACGAGCCATGTGTGCAATGAACTGCGCCTTGGCAGAGAGAAAGGTGGGCCTTGGCAGGGAGAGAGGCAGGGCCGGAGCCATGATGGGTCTTATAAGAGAACTCACACGAGGGGAATACCCAAGGCCGGCGAGCCATGTAAGCGACAAGTGTGTCTTGGCAGAGAGAGAGGCGCACTCTAAGTTTAACCAGGTGCATCAACGCACAAAGTGCTTAGAGCAACCTCAGAACTCACCAGAGGGGTGTAACCAAGGCTGGTGGAGCAAAGCCGTCTAGCCATGTAAGCAACGAATTGTGCCTTGGAAGGGAGAATTGTGGGCCCTGAGCACTTCTATCAGAGCAGAGTGCGTTTTGATGGGTCTTGGAAGAAAGAGAACTCACCAGAGGGGTGTAACCAAGGCTGGTGGAGCAAAGCCGTCTAGCCATGTAAGCAACGAATTGTGCCTTGTCAGGGAGAGAGGCGGGCCTGGAGCCGTTTGTTTGAAAGCATGGTGTGTGTGTAGTGATGGGTCATGGAGGAAAGAAACCTTACCGGAGGGGTATATCCAAGGCAGGTGGAGCAGAGGCGCCGAGCCATGAAAGCAACAAAGTGTGCCTTGGCAGGGAGAGGAGAGAGGTGGGACTTACAAGCTGCATGAGCAGAGAGAGTTCCTAGAGGAGTACCTCACAACTCACCGGAGGAGGCGCGTATCCGAGGCAGGTGGAGCAGAGGCTTCGAGCCATGAAAGCAACGAACTGCGCCTTGACGGGGAGAGAGGCGGGCCTTGAGCCGGTGCTCTGACAGAAGGCAGTGGCCTGATGGGCCTTAGAAGAGAACTCACCGGAGGGGTATACCCGAGGCAAGTGGAGCAGAGCCTTCGAGCCATGTAAGCAACAAACTGTGCCTTGGCGGGGAGAGAAGCGGGCCCAGAGCCGACATGTGGCAGCATGTCATTGGCCAGGAGATCCCATGCAGAGAGCCTGTTGTTGTGCGTCAGAGACTCGAGGGCGGCAAGAGCAGCCTTGGGGGGGTTGGAAGGGAGGGTTGGGAGAGAGGGGAGGAGGGATGATTGGAGGGAAAGGATGAGAGGTCAGAGAGCCTAAACCATGCAGCGCGGGCAAGACCACTCGCAGTACGGCACCTATTAGAGTCCCACCTGTGATTGATGCATCAGTAAAGCATTCTTTCGTGTCCCACCTGTTGGTTGCTACTCCGGTTCTCTTCACATGTGTGCTGCAGCAGCTGCACCCACCTCCTGCTGCCGCTTCCACATCATCTCTCGTCTTTTCCCTCTCTCCTCCTACCATCTCACCCCCTTCCTTCTTTCCAGTAAGAGGCGTCCTCACCTGTTGGTTGGTACTCCGGTTCTCTTCACATGTGTGCTGCAGCAAGTTGGCTTTTGAATCAACTCAAAAGTCAACTTCTTTCGTGTCTCACCTGCTGGTTGGTACTCCGGTTCTCTTCACACGTGTGCTGCAGCAGCTGCAGCACCTCCTGCTGCCGCCTCATCAGTGCTTGCGCTTCCTCTCCTCCTTCCATCCCTCCTTCGCGCTTTCCTCCTTCCCTCTTTCCCCCCTCCTTCTCACCTTCTCCTCCCATTCCCCCATCAGCATCATCAGTAGAAACCCCACCACCACCACCAGCAACGGCAGCAGCAGCTGCTACACCATCAGCATCATCATCACTGTCATCTATGACAATGACATTCGCTGCTCTCTTGTGTCTCTTGGCCTTGAACCACGCACCCCTCTCCCCCTCCTCCTCTCCCTCCTGCTTTCCCTCCTCCTCTCCCTCACCCCTCTCCTCCTCTTCTCCTAATCCCGCCTTTCTTTCCATCCCTCTCCCCACACTACCGGACCCCTTCCCTCCCCTCTCTTCCCCTCCCCCCACCATGCCCTCACTTTCTTTCAGTGGGTGCCCGAGAATCATTTCAAATATTTCCTTATCTGACCGAACTCCCAGAGCACGAAGTAAGAGGAATAGATTGACCGGGCAGCTGAAATATGGGAGATGGATTTGAAGGATACGGGAAGCGCTTGCGCTGGTTGCTGACGTGGCAGCTGCTGCAGCTGACGTGGCAGTTGCAGGTGCTGAGCTGGCATGAGGTGGAACGAGAGCGGAACAGGTCATCCTCATCATCCTGCAAGCAAGGCATTTGGAAGAAAGTGGATGATGAGATGAGAGGAACTTCCCGTAGCGTCCCATATGGGGTGAGTGCGATACAAGATAGATAGGCAGAAACACGAAAAACGACGATCGAAACACACAGAGATAGAGAACGGAAGGCAGATGGGGAAAGACACACACACACAAACATACACGTAAACACACCTTGAAATTTCTATATCTCAGACACATACCTTGTTTTTGCCTACTTTTGAGGCGAATCAAAAGAAAACATATACACGTAAACACACCTTGAACTTTCTATACCTCTGACACACACCTTGTTGATTTTTTAGTCGACTAAAAACATTCTATACATCTGACACATACCTTTTTTTTGCCCGTGGTCCTGCCTTGAACCCTCCCATATCATCCTCAGTAGAGACAACAGAAGCCACCCACTCGTCCCTCCACATTCCCGCCCCCTCTGCTGTCCCGCCGCCCATCGAGGCAGCTCTGGCAGCAGCAGAAGCAGAAAGGGGCGGAGCACCCTCGACGAGGATGGTGTTGGGTGCTCTCACGAGCTGGGGAATAACCACCTGTGGTGTGGGTGCAATGCAAATGGGCAAGGGGGGGGGGGGGTGAGTAGATTGGGGGGGAGCAGGCTCGACCAGGATGGTGTTGGGTGCTCTCACGGGCTGGGGAATAAATGACCACATGTGTGGGTGTGAATAGGGGGAGGAAAGGTGGAGGGGAGAAGGAATGATAGACAAACGAGGCCGGAGGGAGGCGGAACAGGCCCAACGAGGATGGTGTCGCGTGCTCTCACGAGCTGAGGAAAGACCACCTGCAGGGTTGCATATGGACAGATAGAGCACAGACAGAAAGAGGGCAGACTCGGAAGGTGCAGGCCCAACGAGGATGGTGTTGGGTGCTCTCACGAGCTGAGGAACTACCACCTGTGGTGTGTGCGCACGAAGGGGATGGAGAGACAGAAGACAGACTAAAGAACCACCTGTGGGGATGGATCTGGGCAAGAGGGGGAAGAGAGTAGAGATGGGGAAAGCAGGCTCGACCAAGATTGTGTTGGGTGCTCTCACGAGGTGGGGAATAAAGAACCACCTGTAGGTGCATGGAAGGATAGGGGATGTGGGAAATGGATGTGGAGAAGGGGGAGGGAGATGGTGGGGCGGGTGGGTGGGTGGATGATGAGCCATTCCCCCTTCTGTAGAGCGACTTGTCCCAGAGTGCGACTTGTCCCAGAGTGCGACTTGTCCCAGAGTGCGACTTGTCCCAGAGTGCGACTTGTCCCAGAGTGCGACTTGTCCCAGAGTGCGACTTGTCCCAGTCTATGTCTTGTTCCAGATGAGCCAGTAGTAAGTTCTCTATAGAGCGTCTTGTCCCATCGAGGTGACTTTGAGTCGACTCAAAAGTCACCTTGTAGAGCGTCTTGTCCCAGATGAGCCAGTAGTAATAAGTTCTCTATAGAGCGTCTTGTCCCATCCCGTCCATTCCCCACTCCCATCACACCATCTCATTCAACCCCTCACCTTGTCCATTCCATTCCTTGTCCGTCCATCCCTCACCTTCTCCATTCCCTTCACAATGAAGTAGCCCCCTCTGTCCTTGGGACACTCCTCCTTGCCCCACATGTCCTTCTCTGATAGGCCATTCAGATGGCACGCATCTGACCTAAGCATCACAGGGACCGCCCCCAGATGCACCTCCCCTTCCACCCACTCCCTCACCACCCTCTCCTCCACTCCCTCCTCTCCACCACCCTCCTCCTCCTCCCTCCCCTCCTCCTCCCCTTCCTCCTTCTTCACCTTAACCTTTTCCTTCGCTCCTGCTTTCCTCCAGGTCCATTGCAAGCCTTCATACCCCAGATCAACATCAACATCAACATCCGCACCACCACCAGTACCACCACCAGCACCAACAGCACCAGCATCAGCACCTGCAGTACCAGCAGCAGCGCTACCAGCAGCAGCAGCAGCAGAATCATCATCAGCATCATCCTCGTCTTCCCACCGAACGAAGCGTTTCCCAGTCTTGAGAGACCCCCTCTGCTCCGCCTGCTTCCTCCTCCTCTGCTCTCTCCTCTGCTCTCTCTCCCGCTGCTTCTGCTGCCTCAAGGCCGCCTCTAGAATGGCCTCTTTGGAGGGCTGCTCGTACCGACCGCGCTCCACCACTTCAAACACCTGTGAAAGGGGAGAACGCACAGAAGCATGTGTAAACAAACCGCTCTTATAAAGCTGTCTGTAAGGCAAGCCAGTCTACCAAGAAAGAATTGGCTAAGACCACTGCACCTTCCTGACAGCGCCCCCAACCGTACTGTACCCATCCATCCATGAGGTGTTCTCTCTCCATCCACCCTCCTCACCTGAATGCGCAGCGATCCTCTCAGCTCCCCACTGTACGTCCGATGCTCACGTTCCTCCCAACCTTCTGTACCTTCCTGACAGCGCTCCCAACCGCACTGTACCCATCCATGAGATGCTTTCTCCCCATCCACTCTCATCACCTGAATGCGCAGCGATCCTCTCAGATCCCCACTGTACGTCCGATGCTCACGCCGCGCCTGGCTAGGAAACAGCGGGGACGATTTTCTCACATTCCCCACTCCAGGGTGTGGAAACCTGAGCCCTGACGGGCTGTCAGATGAAGCCCTGTTCGAAGGGTCCCCGTCAGGATGCACCCCCTCCACTCCTTCCTCCACTTCCTTTTCCTTCCCGTTTCTTCCGCTCTTCTTCTTCTCCTTCCTCCGCTTCCGCCCAGTCTTCCCTCCCCTATCCCCATCCTCCTCCTCCTCCTCTTCTGCCATCTTCACATCCACATCCTCGTTATTGTCTGCTCCGTTTCCAGCCAGCGAGCTCGTCCCTGGTGCACCAACACCAGCAGCAGCAGCAGCAGCAGTATCACCCAGATATTCCATCCCAAAAGGATGAATGAGCGGGCGAGTGAAGGCGGGGTCTTGGAGGAAGATCCGCACGCCGACGCCCACCACACGAGATGTGACACTATCGAGATTGTGATTGCGTGGGTTGGCGGGGGTGATTGTGTCACTGACCTTCAAAGGAATGTGTATCTGCAGAAAGTGGGGGGGAGAGGAAGAGGGGAGGAGGGGGGAGGGGGTGTTGAAGCAGCAGGACAGAGGATCAAACGGGACAGACTGGCAGGGGTTGCTGTGTGCCGCTGACCCTGAAAGAGAGCGAGAGCGAGGGTCCGAGAAGACGTAAGAAGTTAAGTACATTGGTTAAAACGAAGTGAAAACACGCAAGCTGAGCTTAGTGTTCACCTGAACGGGTCTATGGCCGGCCACGATGCGAGGGAGTCGGCGTCGGAAGCGACTGAAGGAGTGCAGGTGGGACGCCAGAGTGGCTGGCCATAGCGCTGCCTCGAACTGTGGTGATAATGAGCAGTGAGTAAACTTCAAGGACTCACCTGAACCGGTCTGTGGCCAGCCACGATGCGGGGGAGGCGGCGCAGGAAGCGGTTAAAGGAGTGCAGGTGGTGGGACACCAGCCCGCTCCCCTTGACTGCAGCAATCGCCACGTCTTGGAACGACAACACCCAGTGCAAGGTGAGTGTTGAGCTCAGTGCCGTGAGTTCCGTGCTCCAAAACAGAGCCTCCTCACCTGAACTGGCCTGTGGCCAGCCACGATGCGGGGGAGGCGGTGCAGGAAGCGGTTGAAGGATTCGATGTGGTGGGACACCAGACCGCTCCCCTTGACTGCAGCAATCGCCACGTCTTGGAATGACAGCACCGCTGGTGGCTTCTGCAGCAGCTGCTGCTGCTTCGGCAGGAGAATTTCTGGTGCTGATGTTGTGGGTTCTGGTGCTGGTGCTGGTGCTGGTGATGCTTCTGCCTGTCCCTCCGCCTCTGCCTCGTCCCCCCTCCCCTGCTGCATCTCTTGCTCTTCCTGCATCGCTTCTTGCGTCGCCATCTTGCTGAGTCTCAGTCTTTATTGAGATTCTTCTTAGCTGGCGTTCGCTTCAGAGAGCTGGGTTGGATATGGAGGGTTGAGAAGCAGGGGATTTGTGGTGGTGCGGGACGACTAACCATGTACGGAGAGTTACCGCACCAGCTTGGAAACACAGCTAGTTCCTCGTAAGACTGAATATGCCGCGATAAGAACGATCGATCAGGGAGGACAAAAAAACCGACTGTATACTTCAGGAGAAAATATTGTGTTCGCAGATTGTCAGGTGTTTGAACAATACTAATTTCAGCCACTGATGAAAAAAGTGCGCGCGAATTCGGGAAACAAATATTCTCAGCTGGAGAAGCACATCAGAGTAAGCACTTCGTACAGAATTACAGAAAATGGCTCTGAAAGCAGTGCAGAAAAAAATGGCGCTGAAATTGGTTTCAGGGAGTTCTCATGGCCTGACTTCAATGCGGTTTGGTGAGATGCTGTGCGTGGAAAAGCGGTTTCTTTACAACACAACAAGTTGTCAGGTCCGGAAAATGGCTGCGGAGAGGGAGATTGTCAGATGTCCTTCGGCATTCTCAAGGTTTGGTGCATGTGGGCGAAAGCATGCGGCTTACACATTGTGACGGGTTGTCCGTGCGAGAAGTTGATGCGACGTCGCATCACCGGATTGTCCGTCAGATTACACTGAAAAACTTCGGAGAGCACGAACGCTGGCGAACCACTTCCTCGTAGCCGTAACCCCACGATTTTCCGTTCCACGTGTGTCGGTGCTGGGAAACTCCGAACGATGCCCCCAATTGTTACCTGCAGCCTACTATCAAGTAGATTCGCGACGTGGTGGAGGCGAAGAAGCATGAACGCTCATCATGGTTCGCGAAACGATTTCGTGCACACAACGATGGATCAACTATTTTCCATAGATGGGCAGGAACTGATCCCAAGGCTATAAAACTGAACTTTTCAAAACTGATCCCGAGGTTGCCTGAACTTTTCAAAATTACCACTCTCTAGTAGCTTCTCCTAGTCCATCTCTCATTGTCAGAATACCCTTTTCAAATACCAGATAGTTCTCAAAACACCGGCGCATCATGTGAGTCGGCTTTTAAATCACTAATCATCTAAACTTCTTTAATCTGGGTGTGCATGACCCGACTGGATCATCGCTAAGTGACCTAAATTTGCAGCAGTATCAGCATTAGCAAAGTCTAAATCCGTGCATGGCCTCCGCGCCGAACGGCGGGACCGGCGGAGGCGTAGAGGCGGTCCAGTACGACGCGGGCACGGGCATTTACACCGTTAAGAACAAGCCGTGGCCAGGTGCGTGACGAGTTTTTAGAGTTCTTCAAGAATTTCGGTCCAGTACGACGCGAGCATAGGTCGCGATCACAGCAAGATGCGACGCGATCACAGCAAGATGCGACGCGAGCACAGCAATATGCGACGCTAGCACAGCAACATGCGACGCGAGCACAGCAAGATGCGACACGAGCACGGGCCCGTAAACCGTCAACAAACAAGCTAGTCATGCAGCAGAAGTTTCGTGTCACTGCCACCGTTCTCTCATAACCTCGAAATCACATCCCTCCCTCCTCCTGCCCTCCTTCCTTCCCCCTCTACCATCCCTGCTCCCGTCACATTGCAACAGTGGGAACTCGCTACACGGTGCACTGTCTGATTGGCTCTGGCTCATACGGAGATGTTTGCAAGGCCACTGACAATGAGACGGGCGAAACCGTTGCGCTCAAGGTGACTATAGCGAATTTGTTGTGCTGTCCCATGCTCGCCAAGAGAGTGTTTCCATAGTCATTAGAATCGTTGCATTCCTCCATCCTGTTCATCCAATTTCCTCTCCGTGTATTTGTATGTGCATGTGTGTGTATGCCTGCCTGTGTTGTGGTGTGAGCAGCGCATTGCGGATGTGCTGTGCTGCCCCATGCTGGCCAAGAGAGTGCTTCGAGAGGTCTGCATCATGCGGCGACTCTCGCATCCATACGTCATCCGATGTAAGCACACGGCGGATGTGATAAGTAGGCAAATGTGCAAACAAGACTGATGTGAGTTGCAGGCACCCCTTCTTATTACTATCACCGAACTCACAAATTCCAGGGTCACTTTGAAGTCAAGAGAGGTCTGCATCATGCGCCGCCTCTCTCACCCATACATCATCCGATGTTAGAAGAACAACTCACCAAGCGTATGTCTACTACAATCAGATGTATCTTCCACTCCACTTTCCTTCACTCACTCCTGCCTGCCCTTCGTTCCCCACCCCGGCCCCTTCATCACCCTCCTGTGCACGAATATTTTCCTCCCATCCATCTCCCCCATCCTCCCTCTCCCTTATCCCAGTGGCGGACGTGTTTACTCGCAAGTCCACCGAGGTGCCGGGCGGATTCGACCTTTACATCGCCACTGAGTATGCATCAGGGTAAGCCCTTCACGTTGCCATTATGCCTCGGCCGGCCCTCATGGCAAGCCTAGTCTAGCCTAGCGTAGCATCTGCCGGGGTCCTTCCCAGTGGCGGACGTGTTCACTCGCAAGTCCACCGTGGTGCCGGGGAGATTCGACCTTTACATCGCCACAGAATATGCGTCAGGGTAAGCTCTGAACTCCCGTGCTGTGTTTTGAGCACATAAAAAAAAAACACACAAAAAAAACGGGCGTGTTCGCTTTCAAGTCCACGGAGGTGCCTGGCGGATTTGACATCTACATCGCCACAGAGTATGCTTCAGAGTAAGCCCTTCACATTGCCAGTATGCCTGCCATCAGGGCATGCCTAGCCTAGCCTAGCCTAGCCTGGCCTCTGCCGGCCTCCCTCCCAGTGGCGGGCGTGTTCACTCGCAAGTCTGCTGAGCTGTCGGGCCGATTCGACTTCTACACGCCTTATCGCAGCTCACCCTTCGCCTCCTTGAACCCCCTGTGCCTCTCTTCCCTTCCACTTCCTTTTCCCCTCCCTCTCCCCTGCCGTTACCCTCCCTTTCCTCATCCCCAGTGGCGACCTGTATCGGTTCAAGCAGCCGCTAACCCCAGAGGACGTGAGGCGACTGATATGGCAGCTGCTGGTGGCAACTCGCTACCTGCACTCCTGCCACGTCTGGCACAGGTGGGCGGGTGGGTGGGTGGGTGGGTGGGTGGGCGAGACCTTTAACATAGACATATGAAAGCTGGGTTTCAGCCCTAGCAGTCAGGCTTAAGCCATGTGCAGCAGCTGCTGGTGCCAACTCGCTACCTGCACTCCTGCCACGTCTGGCACAGGTGGGCGGGTGGGTGGGTGGGTGGGTGGGTGGGTGGGCGAGACCTTTAACATAGAAATATGAAAGCTGGGTTTCAGCCCTAGCAGTCAGGCGTAAGCCATGTGCAGCAGCTGCTGGTGCCAACTCGCTATCTGCACTCCTGCCACGACTGGCACAGGTGGGTGGGATGAGGTCCCAGGTTTTCTGCTAGTCACCCGTCAGCCATAAAGCATGTGTGTGGAGGCTGCTAGTTACATTACAACCCCGTGTATGCACTCCTTCCACGTCTGGCACCGGTGGGTGAGATGCAATCCCTGGAATAAGCTTTCTGCTAGTCACCTGTTAACCGTCCCCAACTCCTCCAAAACTCCCAAAACTCCCAAACCAGCTGTCACGTCTGACGCCCCTAACGCACGTCCTTCACTCCCCTGCTTCCGATCTTCCACTCCGCTCTCTCAGAGATATCAAGTCGGAGAACGCGCCGCTCCACGCCAACACCGCACCAGGAGATCGCACGCACGTCTCACTCACGCATCCCTGATGCCCCTATGTTTCTGCTAATGTTTCCTCCCCTCATCACTCCCCTCAGAGATATCAAGTCCGAGAACACTCTGCTCCACGCCAACACCACACTCAAGCTCTGCGACTTTGGCCTCTCTAGATCCGCCTTAGGGGTGAGTGCTCCCATCTCCTCCTTCCTGCCTCTCCTCTCCTCTCCTCTTCCCTCCTCTCTTCCTGTATTGTCTTCTTGCTCCACGCCAACACCACTCTCAAGCTCTGCGACTTTGGCCTCTCTAGGTCCGCCTTAGGGGTGAGTGCTCCACTCCTGCTGGTCACCCCTCCACTTCCTCTCCTCCAACACCACACTCAAGCTCTGCGACTTTGGCCTCTCCAGGTCCGCCTTAGGGGTGAGTCCTCCTTCCCCTTCTCTCCTCCTCCACGCAAACACCACACTGAAGCTCACATCTCCGTTCCCCACTCCTTCTCTCCCCCCCCACTCTCTCCTACACACTCTCTGTTTACCCCACCCTCCCCCCCTCCCTTCCACTCCCCTGCTCCGCTCCCCTTTCTCCCCCACCCCAGAATCATTGCAGTCTGGGCAGCCGATGCAGCCGCGCAGTGCGCCGGACGAGAAGGGGGCAGCGGCGGGGAGGAAGCAGCACGTGCTGCAGAGGCAGTTCACCAAGATGGTCGTCACCCCCAGCTACCGCGCCCCCCACGGCTGAACGAAGTGCTCCTGTCTCCGTTCCCCACTCCCTCCGTCTCTCCCTCTTCCTCCTCCCGCACTCTCTCTCCCCCTCATCTCCCACTCTTTCCTGTCTTCTCCCACCCACACTCTTTTTGCCCTATCCCTCGCACCCATTCCAGTCAGGGCAGCCAATGCAGCCGCGGAGTGCACCGGACAAGAAGGGGGCAGCGGCGGGGCGGAAGCAGCACGTGCTGCAGAGGCAGTTCACCAAAATGGTCGTCACCCCGAGCTACCGCGCCCCTGAGGTGGTCATGTCCCGGGGCCAATACACATCAGCCATTGACATGTAAGTCGTGTTAGAATCATGTGCCGTACAGCCTAGTTTAGTCTAGTCATGCTGGAGCTGCAGAGGCAGTTCACCAAGATTGTCGTCACCCCCAGCTACAGAGCTCCTGAGGTGGTCATGTCCCGGGGCCAATACACGTCGGCAATCGACATGTGAGCACCGTTAGAAGCAAACATGAGTCTCGAGAGGCAGGGGGTCGTTGTCTCTATGAGCGTTTGTTAGATGGTCGTCACCCCCAGTTACCGCGCCCCTGAGGTGGTCATGTCTCGAGGCCAGTACACATCGGCTATCGACATGTGAGTGTGGTGTTAGAAGCTTCTGTGAGTGTCGTTAAAAGAAGATATGAGTGCAGAAGGTACCTTTACTAGGTGGTTGTCTCACCCCCAGCTACCGCGCCCCTGAAGTGGTCATGTTGTGAGGACAATACACCTCCGCCATCGACATGTGAGTCTCCCAATCGTGCTCCTTCCTGTTGATTCCTATCTTTCTTCAGAGGCCCGCTGAACCTGGTTTCTTGTCTCTGTCTCCCCTTTCGAGGTGACTTTTGAGTCGACTCAAAAGTCACCTCTTGTTTGTTCCTATCTTTCTTTAGAGGCCCGCTGACTTAAAGGCATAGAACCTTATTTCTTTTGAGGCGCCTCAAAATACACTTCCTGTTGTTCCTATCTTTCTTCAGTCAGAGGCCCACTGACTAAAAGGCATAGAACCTGGTTTCTTGTCTCCATCTCCCCTTTCTTCTCAGTCAGAACCCCACACCGCTGCCTGCGTTTGATTTGAACAAAGTGGGTACCTCACCTGTTTCCCGCCTTTGCACTCTTTCCTTCACCCTTCCCTAACCCCCTCATTGATTCCCTTTTCCGCTTTCCCATCCTCCCCTCCTAATCCCGCCCCCTTCCCTCCCCCCTCCCGAAACCCCACCTTGCATATCATCTCTCCTTGCGGGGGACTCCCTTCACCTGCCTCCTCCGTGTGCAACAACTCTCTCGCTCTCCTCATCCCAATTCAGCTGGTCACTCGGCTGCATTTTCTGGGTAAGCTTTTCTGCCTGAGAGAATGAGTAACTCTTCCTCCTCTGAGCACCCCAAAAAGAGGAATTGCTCGCAAATACACTTGCATGCATTTTGGAAGCTTGTCGAAAAAAAATCCCACTGTCCCTCGTTTTTACCCTGAACAAAGAAAGGCCCTCCATCCATCCCCCCCATCCTCCTCCCTCGCGAGCTTTCAATGCAAGCCATGTGCTCCATCGACCAGGGCCCCCAATGACTTCTGAGTCGACTCGAGGTTATCGTATGCTCCTCACCTCACTCACTCCCACCATCATCACCACCACGTTCTCTCTCCCCCTCCACAGGAGCTCCTAATGCGAGCCATGCGGCCCCATCGACCAGGGCCCTCTTAGTGTACCATGTCTCTTCTCACCCAAAGGTCACCATATGCGCTTCTCACTCCCACCATCACCACCACGGCGTCCTCTCTCCCCCCACTCAGGAGCTCCTAATGCGAGCCATGCGGCCCCATCGACCCGGGCCCTCTTAGTGTACCATGTCTCTTCTCACCCAAAAGTCACCATATGCGCTTCTCACTCCCACCATCACCACCACCACGTGCTCTCTCCCCCCACTCAGGAGCTCCTAATGCGAGCCATGCGGCCCCATCGACCCGGGCCTCCATCTAGGCCACTCTTCGGCATCAGGTGAGACTCTGTTGCCATCAGGTGAGCCTCTGTTGCCATCAGGTGAGCCTCTGTTGCCATCAGGTGAGCCTCTGTTGCCATCAGGTGAGCCTCTGTTGCCATCAGGTGAGCCTCTGTTGCCATCAGGTGAGCCTCTGTTGCCATCAGGTGGGTCGCTTGCCGTTGCCCTCCCTCAGGTAAGCCTCAGTTGAGAGCCTCTGTTGCCATCAGGTGAACCTATGTTGCCATCAGGTGAGCCTATATTGCCATCAGGTGAGCCTATGTTGCCATCAGGTGAACCTATGTTGCCATCAGGTGAACCTATGTTGCCATCAGGTGAGCCTATTACAGCTGGCTGGTGGCTGAGCATAGCTGAAACGACTTCCGTTCTGTTTGATTCGGTTCCTTTTTTGGATCCTCCCCTCTCCGTACCCACACGCACTCCAACCTGCTCCCTGCATCACAGGGGCGAGCCAGTGACGCAGAGACAGGGGAGAAGTATGTAGACGACAACGAGTCACCACTAGCCGACCACTCTCCTCCTATGTTCTTGTCCCTTACACTTGCCTCCCTTCCACACCAATCTGCTCCCTGCATCACAGGGGCGAGCCAGTGACACCAGAGACAGGGGAGAAGTACGTGGATGACATCGAGTCACCCCTAGCCGACCGCTCTCCTCTTATGTTCTTGTCCCTTACACTTGCCTCCCTTCCACACCAATCTGCTCCCTCCATCACAGGGGCGAGCCAGTGACCCCGGAGACAGGCGAGAAGTACGTGGATGACAACGAGTTGCCACTAGCCGACCAACTCGACGTGTTCTTTGATGTCATCGGCACGCCCTGCTGGAAGGACATTGAGACCGTTCCCAGCGATGCCTGGCGGGCGGGCGTACCTCAAGAGACTATTTTGTACTGATTCCTTTTTGTTCTGCTCTGTTCTGTTCTGCTCAACAGGGGCGAGCCGGTCACCCCGGAAACAAGGGAGAAGTACGTAGACGACAATGAATCTCCCTTATCGGACCAACTCGACGTGATATTCGATGTCATCGGCACGCCCTGCTGGAAGGACATTGAGACCGTGCCCACCGATGCCTGGCTGCTGGGCGTACCTCAAAAGACCCTCTCTTGTCATGATTCTCCTCTTTTTTGTTCTATTCTGTGCTGTTTTGGTTTCTTCAACAGGGGCGAGCCAGTCACGCCAGAGACAGGGGAGAAGTATGTAGACGACAATGAATCTCCCTTATCGGACCAACTCGACGTGATATTCGATGTCATCGGCACGCCCTGCTGGAAGGACATTGAGACCGTGCCCACCGATGCCTGGCTGGTGGGCGTACCTCAAAAGACCCTCTCTTGTCATGATTCTCCTCTTTTTTGTTCTATTCTGTGCTGTTTTGGTTTCTTCAACAGGGGCGAGCCAGTCACGCCAGAGACAGGGGAGAAGTATGTAGACGACAATGAATCTCCCTTATCGGACCAACTGGACGTGATATTCGATGTCATCGGCACGTTCTGCTGGAAGGACATTGAGACCGTTCCCACCGATGCCTGGCTGCTGGGCGTACCTCAAAAGACCCTCTCTTGTCATGATTCTCCTCTTTTTTGTTCTATTCTGTGCTGTTTTGGTTTCTTCAACAGGGGCGAGCCAGTCACGCCAGAGACAGGGGAGAAGTATGTAGACGACAATGAATCTCCCTTATCGGACCAACTGGACGTGATATTCGATGTCATCGGCACGCCCTGCTGGAAGGACATTGAGACCGTGCCCACCGATGCCTGGCTGCTGGGCGTACCTCAAAAGACCCTCTCTTGTCATGATTCTCCTCTTTTTTGTTCTATTCTGTGCTGTTTTGGTTTCTTCAACAGGGGCGAGCCAGTCACGCCAGAGACAGGGGAGAAGTATGTAGACGACAATGAATCTCCCTTATCGGACCAACTGGACGTGATATTCGATGTCATCGGCACGCCCTGCTGGAAGGACATTGAGACCGTCCCCAGCGATGCCTGGCGGGCGTTCCTCAAGAGGCTGCCCGGGCGGGCGGGAAATCTGGCCAATCAGATGGCGCCATGTGGCGATCCCGAGGCCGCGGACCTGCTCCATCGCATGCTGGCGTTTGATCCCTCCCGGCGGTGCACTGCTGAAGAAGCTCTCGCTCACACTTACGTGAGTGCAGTGTCGTTCATAGATGGTTGTGCTGCTGTTTGCTGCCTGCTCTGCTCGCACCAAACCCTGCCTCGTAAACCTTGAAGCCTGAGGCCGCAGATCTGCTCCATCGCATGCTGGCGTTTGACCCCTCCAGGCGGTGCACTGCTGAGGAGGCTCTTGCACACACTTATGTAAGTGCCTGTGCCGTCGCTCATGCCATCGCTCGCACTGAGATTAGCGTTTGATCCCTCTAGGCGGTGCACTGCTGAGGAGGCTCTCGCTCACACTTATGTAAGTGTTATTGTGTTCTGATGCTTCTTGTTTGTAGAAAACAGGCAGCTTCCTCAGGCGTTTTTTTGAGAGCCGAGTCGACCCACAAGCTGCCTTGGCTTTGGCCTTGGCTTTTTCGTCTCTGTCCAGTCCACCCCTTCCTCCAAACTTCCATCTGATTCTGTGTGTGATAAGTCGATTTTTGAGTCGACTCAAAAATCGACTTATCACACAAGCTGCCTTGGCTTTGGCCTTGGCGTTTTCGTCTCTGTCCACCCCTTCCTCCAAACTACTTCCATCTGATTCTGACCCCCACCCCTCCCAGTTCCGCAGTCTCGAGAAGCCCATGGAGTTGCCACCCATGGAGGCAGAGATCTGTCTCCATGGCGACCCTTACGAGCTAACTCACAAGCTTTCTCGTCTCTTCCCCTGTCCTTCTATTCCTCCCAGTTCCGCAGTCTCGAGAAGCCCATGGAGTTGCCACCCATGGAGGCAGAGATCTGTCTCCATGGCGACCCTTACGAGCTAACTCACAAGCTTTCTCGTCTCTTCCCCTGTCCTTCTATTCCTCCCAGTTCCGCAGTCTCGAGAAGCCCATGGAGTTGCCACCCATGGAGGCAGAGATCTGTCTCCATGGCGACCCTTACGAGCTAACTCACAAGCTTTCTCGTCTCTTCCCCTGTCCTTCTATTCCTCCCAGTTCCGCAGTCTCGAGAAGCCCATGGAGTTGCCACCCATGGAGGCAGAGATCTGTCTCCATGGCGACCCTTACGAGCTAACTCACAAGCTTTCTCGTCTCTTCCCCTGTCCTTCTATTCCTCCCAGTTCCGCAGTCTCGAGAAGCCCATGGAGTTGCCACCCATGGAGGCAGAGGAAACGCCCGATGGGACTCCAGTCATCTTGTCTCCATGGGAGGCAGTCCGTTGGGAAACATCTTGTCTTTCCAAGTTTCAACCGTTGCGGCCTCGCCTCCCTCCTTCCCTCCACCCCTTCCTACTCCCCTCCTTGTCCCAGTTCCGCAGTCTTGAGAAGCCGATGGAGCTGCCACCAATGGAGGCAGAGGAAACGCCCGTGTCTCTGCCTCAGGACCACCACTTCTGGCAAATCACCGACCCTGCCATTGCGCTGGGACTGCTGGAGGTGTGTATCTCAGGGAGTGTGTGAGTTTCTGAGTATGTGGGTATGTGAGTGTGTGTGCGTGTATGTCTCTCCCTCAGGACCACCACTTCTGTCAAATCACCGACCCTGCTATTGCTCTCGGGCTGCTGGAGGTATGTGTGCGTGGGTAGTGAGTGGGTGAGTGACCGTGTGGGTATGTGTGTTAGAGGAAACGCCCGTGTCTCTGCCGCCAGGACCACCACTTCTGGCAGATCACCGACCCTGCCATTGCTCTCGGCTGCTGGAGGTGCGTGGGTGTGTGCATGTGTGTGGGTGTGTGCATGTGTGTGGGTGTGTGTGAGTGAGTGTGACTGTTAGAACGTGCGTTCAAGTAAGTCTCCATGTCTCTCTGCCGCAGAACCACGACTTCTGGCAGATCACTGACCCTGTACAAGGGCTGGTGGAGGTATGTGTGAGTGGGGGTGGGTGGGTGACAGTGGAAGGACGATACTCGAATGCCATTCACATCACGCGTTTGCGATTCGCCTTTCACCCCTCTTTTGAGGCACCTCACTCTCCCTCCTTCATCACCCCCTCCTCATGTTGGCCGAGACCTTTTCGTGCCTGTCTGGCGCTATGCGGTTACCAGAGGGAGCTGGAGCAGGCAGCTCATGAGTCTGATGGGGGGAACAGGAAGCTTGAATGGCGAAACACCTTCCCCATGTTGCCCCTTCATCGTCCACTCTCCGGCCTTCTTTCCCCTTGGTTGGACCCTGGTTCCCCTGGTCACAGAGGGAGCTGGAGCAGGCAGCATATGAGCCTGATGGGGGCAAGAGGAAGCTGGAATGAAAATGCGTCTTGCTCATGCTAGCCCTTAATCTTCAACTCCTCCTTCTCCCCTCCTGGTTCCCCTGGTCACAGAGGGAGCTGGAGCAAGCAGCATACGAGCCTGATGGGGGCAAGAGGAAGCTGGAATGGCTGCTCGAGAGAGAAGCAGAGGGGCAGCAGGTAAGGGGGGCAGCAGGTAAGGGGGGCAGCAGGTAAGGGGGGCAGCAGGTATGGGGGGCAGCAGGTAAGGGGGGCAGCAGGTAAGGGGGGCAGCAGGTAAGGGCAAATTTCTCATTGGGGGTAAGTGTTAATGCGAAGGTTTATCACTTGCCCACCCAGGTTGCCCGTGCGAAGGTGCTACCACACTAAAAAGAAATAAAGAAAGAAAATAAAAGAAAAAGGACGGAATCAGCCAAGTTGAATGTGTATCCTTGCTTTAACCCCCCCCCCCACACTGCACTATTTCCCCAATGTTTGCATCCCCTTTGCCAGGTTCAGAACATCACTCGCAACTCCATGCTTCGCACACTCCTCCCTCTGCTCACTCCCTCCCACTCCTCCCTTGCCTCGCTCTCCTCACCCCCTTCACCCACTCCCCCCTCACCAGGTGCAGAACTTTATCCGCAACTCGATGCTTCGCACGCTCCTCGGCCCTAATGCATTGGCCAATCGCCTCGCAACATCTGTCGGTGCACGAGTGGGGCGTGGCCAGCAGCAGCAGCAGCAGCCGCAGCAGCAGCAGCAGCAGCAGCAGCAGCAGCAGCAGCAGCAGCAGCAGCAGCAGCAGCAGCAGCCGCAGCAGCAAGTGCGTCAGCAGGAGCTACAGTTGCAACAGCAGGGGCAGCAGCAGCAGGGGCTTCAGCAACTGCAGCTGCAACCGCAGCTTCAGGGACAACTGCAGTCACAGCAACAGGAGCAGCCTCAGCAGCAACAGCAACAGCAGCTGCAGCAGCAGATGGTAGCAGCAGGAGCACATGCAGGTTCAACTGGGGAAGGCTCAACTGGAGCGGTAGGAATGGAGGCAAGTGGAGGGGCAGGAAGGATACAGCAGCAGCAGCAAGATCAGCAGCAGAAACTCCTGCTGTTGCTGCTTCAGCAGCAACAGCAGCAGCAGCAACAGCAACAGCAACAGCAACAGCAACAGCAACAGCAACAACGTCAGCAACAGCAGCAGCAGCAGAAACAGCAGCAACAGCTGCAGCAGCAGTTACTAGAGCAGCAGCTGCTACAGCAAATGCAAACTGCAATCACCTCCTCTACTGCTACAGCAACAGGACAATTCCCTCCCGCCACAGCTGCTACAACCGCCCCAGCCGCTACAGCCGGTACAGCCGGTGCAGCTGCTACAACCATCCCTGCAGCAGCCAACTCCGTTGACCTAATAGCGAAAGTGCAACGCCAAGCCTTAAGGCTTCTCTCTGCTTCAGACCCTTCGCTCATCCCCTCCCTCCTCTCCTCCTCCTCCGCCTCCGCCTCCTCCTCTGCTCCTCCCCCCCGCCTCTCTAGCTCCCTGACTGCTGCTCTGCAGAGAAAATCGCGAATGGCTGCTACTGCTGCTGCGGCTGGCACTGCTGCTGCTTCTGCTGCTGCAACCGGTGCTGCTGTTACTGCTGCTGCTGATGGTGGTGGTGGTGGTGCTGCTACCACTGTTACTACTGCTACTGCTACTGCCACTGCCACTGCCACTGCCGCTCCTGATGCTGCTGCTGGTGCTGCTGCTGGTACTGATGTTGCTGGTGCGGGTGCTGCTTCAGGCACCACAAAAGGTACGGCTGACAATGCAAGCGGTGCTTCAGATTTGTCCTCTTCGTCTCAAGCCATGACTGCCCTTCTAGAAGCATACATGAGGCAGAAACAACAGCAGCAGCAGCAGCAGCAGCAGGTACAGTTTGCACCGAATCCCGCCGCTGCTGTTCACCAGCTGCAGGAGTCGCTCAGGAGAAAACAACAGAAGCCAGCACCCTCTCAGGTGCCACAGCAGCAACAGCAACAGCAGCAGCAACAATTGCAGGATCCGAGGCGGCGACTGCGGCAGCAGGTGCAGGGGCAGGGGCAGCAGCAGCAGGAGCCATCTCTCTGTCTTGGCGTGGAAAATGGTGCTCAGAACAATGCTCCAAATCTAGCTCAAAATAATGCGAATAGTGCTCAGCATAGTGCTCAGAATAGTGCACAGAACAGCCAGCAGAGTGCACAGGACTTGCAACTCAACGTCTCGTCTCAGCTGAGTCAGGGCCATCAAGACCCTGACTTGCACCCTCAGGGTGTTGAGGGTCGTCAAGGTATTCCCGGACTGGCAGAAGTGATGATGCCGCCCCGAACCATGATGAGGCTGCAGCAGCAGGGAGGGCAGCACATGCAACAGCAGGGAGGGCAGCATATGCAGCAATTGCACCAGCAGCTGTTTCAGCAGCAGGAGTTGCAATTGCAGCAGCAACAGTTGCAAATACAGCAGCAACAGCGAGAGCTTTTGCAGCTGCAGCAGCAGGAACAGGAACAGGAAGGGCTTGAGAAGCAAGGGGAGGAGGACGAGCGGCATAAGCAGTTTCAGTATCAGCAGCAGTCGCAGCACTTTAGCTTTTTCCCAAGGGTAAATTCCCCTTTTCAAGACCGAGGGGCAGGGGTATCGTCGGAATCTAGCCCCTCGTCCTTAGGATCAAGAAGAGGCGGGCGAATGGATATAATGGCTTCCGTGGCTGCAGCTGCGGTTCGGGCGGTTGATTCCGAGGCTGCAGCCCGGTCCATGTCAGGTACAGGTTCGGACGAAGGCACAGGTGGAGGAGTGGAGGTTCGGCAGGACACACCAGGTTCGGACAGTTTGAGTTTGAATGCGTTTAGTGGGAGGGTACGGTCCCGTTCTCCTTTGGGGAGTGAAGCCGAGATGCCACATGCAAAAAGGATTGCGAGAAGTGGTATTAGCGAAGATGGTCAAGTGTGAAAGTAGGGAGGAAGTTTGAGGACAAGTCAGCAAGGTTGCCAGTGGTGGTGTGTAAAAGATGACCCTCTAGCAAACTGAAACACTAACATGAGCTGTATCGTACAGCTTTCATCCACGTAGATTGCTCACATTGCTGTTCCTTCAGTTTGCAAATTATCACCTTTCCTAAAAAGTCTCATGCAGCAAGCTTGGCCCGAAGTTTTCTTATGCAGTCTAGATAACTTTGCCGGAACGCATACCCTTCCCCTTTTCATACCTTATCCGCATGAATTCTATATCGGATCATCGGCACTGGGATCCAACCCAACTGACGACCACCACCTCGCCTCGGGATTGCCATACTGGAAATCAAATTCTCTTTGAGAGTTCCATTCAGCTGATCAGCTTCAGTCCGATGTGTGACTGGCAGCATATGTTCGAATCGAATGCTTCTTCCGTGTTTGGTGGACCGTTTGCGTTGCGTTATCGTCGCAGAAATCTCTCGCTTTGGCTCTGGCTCTGGCTTTCTCTCGTCCTGCCTCGAGTGCTCTCAGCAATTGAAGATTAGAGGCGCATCAGCATAGTTCAGCCGTCCGATTTAATCGGAGCGGCTTCTCGTGGTTATGAATATCTTCTCGTGAAAGATTGAAGGATCTTACGTGGTACACTTGCGAGACGCTTGATGAAATTCCCTCCAATTCATTTCCTGCCAATCACATTTCACGAATTCGACCCATTTATTCAATCTCGTTCTCAGCCAAAGCGAATTCCGAGGCATCTCAGAGCTCAGTAAAGCGTATTCACCCATTTTTACTATAATCCACACCAGCAGCAGCGAGCAACCATGCGACGGCCACCGCCAATTCAACGTAGACGCCTCAAGCCTTGATTCAACAGATTCCATATTCAGCCACGCTTCATCTCATTTCTGTTCCACACCAGCAGCAGCGAGCAGCCATGCGACGGCCACCACCCATTCAGCGTCGAGGGGCCTTCCAAGCACCAGGCGTCTCCGCGAAACTCTCTCTCTCCTCTTCATTCGTCACCACTGGCGGCGGTAGCAGCAGCAGCAGCTCCGGTTTTAGTCGCATTGGCAATTTTCTACCGTCCTTCTTGTCATGGAACCGTGATCGAGGCACGGAAGGAGCAACCACAAGCGGCAGCGGCGTCAGTGGTGGCATCAGCAGGGACACGACGGGGGTATCTACAACCGGATGGCCGAATTCGAAGGGTACCGCACGGTTTTCACCCGTTCGCGGCTGGTTGGGCGCATCTAGCAGCCAAGGCGGGTTTGAGAGTTCTCCGGGTTCGTTTGAGCGGTTGATATGTGGCCTGCTGGTGGGCCTGCTAGCTGTGCTGCTGCTGGCTTCCGTGGTTCTTCTGCTACCAAAAGGAGGAAGCAGGTCACGAAGCGGTAAGATTTAAGAGTGCCATGGTGTGATGCGGATGATATGGGTTTGAAAGCTCTCCGGATTCAGTCCAGGTTCGTTGGAGGGGTGGCGTGTGTTGGTCAGGACGGTTTGTGTGTGTGTGTGTGAGTGAGCGTGTGTCAGTGTCAGTGTGTGATGTGATATGGGTTTGAAAGCTCTCCGGGTTCAGTCCAGGTTCGTTGGAGGGGTGGCATGTGTTGGTCAGGACGGTTTGTGTGTGTGTGTGTGTGAGTGAGCGTGTGTGTGTGTGTGTGAGTGAGCGTGTGTCAGTGTCAGTGTGTGATGTGATATGGGTTTGAAAGCTCTCCGGGTTCATTGTGAAGCGGGCGGCCTGTGTCCTGCTGGTGAACTTGCTTTTTTTTCTTCTTTCTTTTTTCTTTTTTTTTAACTCTTGAGGGGCCTTAAAAACTGTGGAGCGGGTGGTCGGTTGCCTGCTGGTGGGCTTGCTAGATTGATGTGGTGGCACTTTCCATGCCAATCCCACCTTTCGTCCCTGTTTCTTTCAACTGCTAAGAGTTTGGCTCTGAGATCTCTTTGAACACTTTCCTGAAGATCGCTTGCTAGATTGATGTGGCACTTTCCATGCCAATCCCACCGTTCGTCCGTCCTGTTCCTTTCGCACCAATCATGGCAGGACCTGGAACAGAGACGGATGTAGCGGCAGGACCAGCAGAGACGGCGGCTGTAGCGGGAGAAGAGCCTGCTGCGGCGTTTCCAGTGCCTACCACGGAACCAGCTGCACCAGCAGATGCAGCGGCAGCAGCAGCAGCGGAGACAGCTGTAGCAGCAGCACAGGCGGCAGAAGAAGAAGCAGCAGCAAACGCAGCAGCGGTAGAAGCGGCCGCAGCAAGTGCAGCCGCAGCAGAAGCGGCAGCAGCAGCAGCAATGGCAGAAGACGAAGCAGCAGCCTTCTCCCACCCAGCATGGCGCTATGCCGGATCCCCAGGGGGGAAAGGAGGAGCTGGCACTGAGATGGCTCAAAAGGCAGGGTACCTGTTTGGGTGGGCAGGGGGAGATTTGAGTTACCGGATGGGGTGGGGCGAGGAGGACAGGGCGGCTTGGCCTGTGGTGGAGGCAGGCAGGCGAGCAGCAGACGCTGCTGCTATGGGAGAAAAGATGGGAGAAAAGATGGCAGCACTGGAAGCATAGAAGAGTGCTGCTGATCCGTTTCCCCCAGGCGCACACAGAGCAGGGGGGGTTCTAGGCCGCAAGGGAGTTAAAGCCATAGCCACATCAGGGCACACGCTGGCAGTGACAGTAGACGGAGCACTCTATTCATTCGGCCGCAACTGGGACAGCAGGAGGCGGAAAGCGGGGCAGCTGGGGCGAAAGGGGCCGTTTGGGAGGCCTGGGAGGGTGGGGGGAGTGGCAGGGAGAGTGAGGGCGGTAGCTGCTGGGAAGTTTCATTCTGTGGCTGTGACTGACGAAGGGGTGGTGTACACGTGGGGGTGTAATGGGAGGGGGCAGCTGGGGAGGCAAACCAGAAGCATGGTAAGCGGTTGTGAATGGTGTGAGGATTGTAAGGTGAGATTTTTAGTTGACTCAATTCTGTCTTGGCAGTGACAGGAGGCGGCGGTGTGGTGTACTCGTGGGGGTGTAATGGGAGGGGGCAGCTGGGTAGGCAGACGAGGAGCATGGTAAGGGCGAGTGTGAGGTGTTTGGTGCATGGTGTACGGTGGAAGGTGCATGGTGCGTGGTGCATGGTGCATGGTGTAGGGTGTAGGGCGTCGTTTGAGTTGACTTAAATTCACCTCTCTCCTCCTCCTCCCCCCCCCCGTTTCCCAGGGCGACAGGCACGAGGCAGCTCCAGTGCGGGGGGCAATTGAAAACGTGGTGGTGGTGGTGGCAGCAGCAGCAGGGCCGCACTACTCCCTCGCCCTCTCTGCCGGGGGGCGAGTCTTCACCTGGGGCCTCAACCTCTTCTCGCTCCCTGCTCCCTGGACCCACCACCATGACCTCTGCCATACCCCTACTGCTGCTTCTTCTGCTGCTGCTGTTTCTGCTGCTTCCTCCCCTGTTCCCTTCTCAGGGTGACAGGCACGAGGCAGCGCCAGTGCGGGGGGCGTTGGAAAACGTGGTGGTGGTGGCGGCAGCAGCAGGCCCGCACTACTCCCTCGCCCTCTCTGCCGGGGGGCGAGTCTTCACCTGGGGCCTCAACCTCTTCTCGCTCCCTGCTCCCTGGACCCACCACCATGACCTTTGCCATACACCTGCTGCTGCTGCTTCTGGCGGTATTGCCAGCAGCAGCAACAGCAGCAGCAGCAGCAGCTGGAGTTTTGAGCAGGAATTGGCAGCAGCAGTGGCGTTGGCAGCGGAACCAAGGAGGGTGGGAGGGGCATTGGAGGGGGAGAGGGTGGTGGAGATAGCAGCAGGGGAGGAGCATTGGCTTGCTCTCACAGATAAAGGCCATGTGTACGCGTGCAGGTGAGAGAGAGATGGGAAGTGAGGGTCCTCAGGTAAGGGTGCAGAGGGCGTGTGTTGAGCTTGGAGTAGGGACTCATTTAAGCAACTCGAACCCTTTACATTGACACGCCCTCCCACCTCCCCCCCTCCATTCTTCCTACAACCCTAATCTGCTTCTTCGTATCCCATACCCTCCTCCCTACCAGTACCGGTTTCAATGCCAGTGGCGTTCGGATCAACCCAGCCATCCACGCCCCTCTCCTTGCCCACCCCGTTCCCTTTTCCTCCTTCCCCTTCCTTCATTCTCAACCCCTTCGCTTATCCCCACCAGCACTGGTTTCAATGCCAGTGGCGTTCTGATCAACCCAGCCATCCACGCCCCCCTTTTAGCCCAACCTATCCCCTCTCCCTCTTCCTCCTCCTCTTCCTCCTCCTCCCACACCCGCTTCTCCCTCCCCCACCGCATCACCGCCGGTCCCTTGTCTTCCGAGCGTGCATCAACCATCGGAGCAGCAGCAGGCGCATCCTTTGCTGTCATGGCGTCCTCTCAGCAGTTGCTGTCGTGGGGGTATGGTGGAGGGGAAAGAGGGCTAGCAGCAACAGCAGGGGCAGGAGGAGGAGCGGCAGCAGCACACACAGGCTCGGTGTTGTTGGGGCGAACAGAGGGAGCAGCGGAAGAGCCGAGTGAGGTGGTGGGAGAGGAGGAGGGGGGGGAGGGGGGGGGAGTGCGGATGGGTGGGGTGGTGCAGGTGGTGGGGGGTGCGTCGTTTGTGCTCGCCCGGACCAGCACTGGACAGGTCTTCTCGTGGGGTCACAACAACTACCACCAGCTCGGCCGCCCGACGCAGCACTCCGCCGACCCGCTTCCTGGTCTCGTGGGCGGCCTGGCTTGTCTGCACGTGGACACTGTAGCAGCAGGGTCGCACCACGGGCTTGCTTTTAGGCGGGCGGAGCGCGGAAAGGAGTTGGAAGTGGTTGAGATGGAACAGGTGGTTAAGGAGGAGTGGGAGCGGGTGCATTCGAATGGTGGGGAGCATGAGACAGGAGGAGAAACAGGAGGAGGAGGAGGAAGAACAGGAGGAGCATGGGGAGGTTGGGGAGGGAGAGGAGGAGGAGGAGGAGGAGGAGGAGGAGGAGGAGGAGGAGGAGGAGGAGAAAAAGACGGAGGGAGGTCGGTGTTCCCAGTGATATACAACGAGCACCACAGGGGCGAGATCATGCAGGTGGCAGGGGAGTGGTTCGCCCAGCTGCCACCGTCAGGGTTCGACCCAGCATTCTGCAACCCCTGCTGGAAGGATGGCTCTGGGTTTCACTGCCTGCCTTACTTCCTGGTCATCGGGGCTATGAGGTAGGCATAGAGGAGCAGCATTCACCCCACGGCCTCTTTCCCTCAATCCGAAACTGGAGCTTGGGACTTCTTTCATCGGCTGAACATGACTCATGTTGTGCCCTCCCGCGCCTCTCCACCAACCTGCTTGAGATTGATTTTGAGAACCAATCAATCGATCAATCTCAAACAAAATTGTGCCCTCCCGCGCCTCTCCACCAACCTGGCCCCTACCCCCGTTTTGTTGAACCTGGCCCCTACCCCCGTTTTGTTGAACCTGCCCCCTACCCCCGTTTTGTTGAACCTGGCCCCTACCCCCGTTTTGTTGAACCTGGCCCCTACCCCCGTTTTGTTGAACCTGCCCCCTACCCCCGTTTTGTTGAACCTGGCCCCTACCCCCGTTTTGTTGAACCTGGCCCCTACCCCCGTTTTGTTGAACCTGGCCCCTACCCCCGTTTTATTGAACCTGGCCCCTACCCCCGTTTTGTTGAACCTGCCCCCTACCCCCGTTTTGTTGAACCTGGCCCCTACCCCCGTTTTATTGAACCTGGCCCCTACCCCCGTTTTGTTGAACCTGGCCCCTACCCCCGTTTTATTGAACCTGGCCCCTACCCCCGTTTTATTGAACCTGGCCCCTACCCCCGTTTTATTGAACCTGGCCCCTACCCCCGTTTTATTGAACCTGCCCCCTACCCCCGTTTTGTTGAACCTGGCCCCTACCCCCGTTTTGTTGAACCTGGCCCCTACCCCCGTTTTGTTGAACCTGGCCCCCACCCCCGTTTTGTTGAACCTGGCCCCTACCCCCGTTTTGTTGAACCTGCCCCCTACCCCCGTTTTGTTGAACCTGCCCCCTACCCCCGTTTTGTTGAACCTGGCCCCTACCCCCGTTTTGTTGAACCTGCCCCCTACCCCCGTTTTGTTGAACCTGGCCCCTACCCCCGTTTTGTTGAACCTGGCCCCCACCCCCGTTTTGTTGAACCTGGCCCCTACCCCCGTTTTGTTGAACCTGGCCCCTACCCCCGTTTTATTGAACCTGGCCCCTACCCCCGTTTTGTTGAACCTGCCCCCTACCCCCGTTTTGTTGAACCTGGCCCCTACCCCCGTTTTATTGAACCTGGCCCCTACCCCCGTTTTGTTGAACCTGGCCCCTACCCCCGTTTTATTGAACCTGGCCCCTACCCCCGTTTTATTGAACCTGGCCCCTACCCCCGTTTTATTGAACCTGGCCCCTACCCCCGTTTTATTGAACCTGGCCCCTACCCCCGTTTTATTGAACCTGGCCCCTACCCCCGTTTTATTGAACCTGCCCCCTACCCCCGTTTTGTTGAACCTGGCCCCTACCCCCGTTTTGTTGAACCTGGCCCCTACCCCCGTTTTGTTGAACCTGGCTCCTACCCCCGTTTTGTTGAACCTGGCCCCTACCCCCGTTTTGTTGAACCTGCCCCCTACCCCCGTTTTGTTGAACCTGCCCCCTACCCCCGTTTTGTTGAACCTGGCCCCTACCCCCGTTTTGTTGAACCTGTTGAAGGTGGTTAGCTAACCACTACCTAGAGCGACCTACATCAACCTAAGAAGGACCTACTGTGACGAGATGTGACTAAGGGAAAACGAGGACCTAAGAAGAAGAGGAGCTATCTATGTTGGGACGGTGGAAGGAGAAACACGGTAGCGGCGCGACCTGCAGTGGGAATCGAAGAGAAGAAGGGGAAGTGTGCAGATGTGGAGTAGAAAGCGGCTGAAATGTCGAGATTTCAAGCGACGTGAAGAGAAGTCACGCCGGGTCAAAGGCGCATCCAAGGAAGTCTGAAATTCGAACTCGAGGCGCGTTCGGTGCATGGTTGGATTTGGAAATTGAGCCGAGTACAAGTCAGCTCGAAATTAGGCGCGGCGCGAGGGCGAAATCAGAAATCCTTTTGCTTATAACTTGCTTTGTGTTTTCTGTTTTTGTATGCCTTCTTCAATGAAATTACTTGAACTTTCTACCTTGGCGTTTTTCAGCAAATTCTTTCACACAGTTGAGGCCAGAGCTTCATGTGCTTGTTACTAAGACTCTAAATAGTCTTCATAATCTAGACCAAAGGCTGCGCACGTACAAGAGCTGGTATTAGAGCTGGTTTAAGGCGTGTTCTAGCGTTTTAAGGATAGGCGGAATTTACTAAGTATGACGGGCGATCATACTGAGGCGAGTTCGGGCTCCTCTGTGAGCATTGGAGGCTCAGAACTACAGGCCATCCTAACAGCGCTAGCACAAGCTAAATTGACGGCGAAGCCAACGATTGGGCTTAGCGAGGCCCAACGGTTCCATGGAGAAAATTATAGCACGTGGCGACTCAAGTTCATTCGTAGAGCGGAGGAAGTCGATCTCTGGCCATACTATCATCCGGACAAGGAGACGGGAGAGGGCGTCGCACCATCTGCAAAGGAAAAACCAGAAGAAAATGCGTCATTCAAAAAAAGGAGTAAGCAAGCCTTTTTTCAATTGTGCCATTCGGTTTCTGACAGCATTGCAGTGGGGCTGGATCAATTTGCGGGAGAGGAGAACTCTGCCGAACGAGCTTGGGAGTACATGGAAGCTGCTTACCTTGGGCTTACGGATACGAACAAAACAGCCATTCGGAAGAAACTCCTTCTATTGAGTATGGAGCCGGGGGAGAGGGTCATTGACTACATGAATCGAGCAAAGGGGTACAATGACGACCTCAAGGCTATGGGGGCAGCTGAAACTGAAGGAGAAATGATGGGGTACATCATTACTGGGCTGCCCAAGGAGTGGGAAGCAGAGATAGGGCTCCTAACCTGCAACCCACCCGTGAATATGACCAAGCTGTTGGAGACGCTCCAAGCTCTGGAGCGGGTGAAAGCTGATCGGCTCAGGAAGGAGATTAGCTTGAGCGGAATGGGACCAGCCACTCATGCTATGGTAAACGCAACAGCGACAGGGAAAGGATACGGAGGTTTCGGGGTGTGTTTTCAGTGTGGGAAGAAGGGTCATAAGCAGATAGACTGCTATGACAACCCGAGAAGCAGAAAGTTCAAGGGAAAGTGGAGCGGTCCGCAGCAAAGGGGCCTGCAAAATGGAGGGCAGCAGAGAGAGGGGGAGGTTCGAGGCGATAACAAGATGCTGAGAGGCGGATTTTCAGGGGCATGTCACTATTGCCAGAAAATTGGGCATAGGGCAGCCAACTGCTACTCAAACCCGAATAGCAGGAACTACAGAGGGGCAAATCAGCAGCAGAATCAACCAGCAGCAGCAAAAGCAAATGCAGTGGAAGCTGAAAACAGTGAGGCGGACGTAATATTGGGGGGATCTGACAAGGCAAACGTGGCAAGGGCATCGGGAGTGTGTTTGATGGCAAAGGGGTTTGGTGAAGCTGCGTGGTTCATGGATAGTGGCTGCACGCAACATATGACCAATCATCATGAGTGGCTTACCGGATTGAGGGAGTCTAGTGTACCCTACGTTCTGTTGGGCGATGAAGGGAAACTAAGTGTGAAGGGGGAAGGAGAGTTGCTGCTCCAGGGAGAATACGGGGAGCTGAAACTGGAGAATGTGCTTTTAGTGGAGAAGCTGTCACAGAATCTGATCAGCCAAACTCAACTTGACAGCACGGGGTGCAAAACCTTCAGCGACAAAGGAAAATTGTGGGTTTTTGACAAGAACTGGAAGGTGGTTGCAGAAGGGAACAGAAATCAGGGATTGTATGAAATGAAGCTGAGGAAGAAGGGGCTGGAGGATGAGAATGCCACCTACCTGCCATCTCTCGAAGGGGACCTAGCTAGGGAGGAGTTGAAGGCTCGGCTTGGTGGCTTACTTGTGAAGGAGCTGCAGCAGGAAGCTTCAGCCATGGTGGTTGGGATGGAGAAGGTGGAATTGGAGACCTTGCACAGGCGCATGGGGCATGCAAGCATGGATAGGGTCAAGGAGTTGGTCAAAAAGGGCATGGTAAAAGGTGTGGCACTGAAGGAGGGGGCTGGAAGCAAGGGAAAATGCAGCAAGTGTGTTGAAGGTAAAATCACAAAGTCCCCTCACCCCCACCACCAGGTACATAAGCCTTATGGCACCTTGGACATCGTAGCTGCCGACGTGTGTGGGCCTATGAGGGTGGCGTCACGTCACGGCAGCCGCTACTTCGTTACCTTCACTGATTTGGGGACAAGGCACACATGGGTGACGGAGCTGAAAGATAAGGCAGAAGTGTTTCCTAGCTTCGTGACTTGGATGGCAGAAGCGGAACGGCAAAGTGGGAAGGAGCTGAAAGTTTTAAGGACAGATAATGGAGGGGAGTTTACCGGTGAGCTATTCAACAAGTTTCTACAGAGTAAGGGCATCCGACGGCAGCTGACTGTACCCTACACTCCACAGCATAACAGCATAGCGGAGCGGGTGAATCGCTCTCTACTGGATAGTGTGAGGAGCATGTTGGCCGACAGTGGGCTGCCACTGAAGTTCTGGGGGTGATGCATTGGCAATGGCTTGCTGGTCCAAGAACCGCCTACCTACCAAGGGACTTCAAGCAGATATGACTCCCCACGAGGCCTTCTATGGCAGGAAGCCGAATCTGGGGTTTGCACGGGTGTGGGGGAGTATGGTGCAATACAGGGAGCCAGCTGGTCCGGATCATAAGTTGCTGCCCAAGGCTCATTGGGGGATTAACCTCGGTACCTGCCCAGTGAGCAAGGGGTGGGTGATCAAGGATGTAATTTCAGGAAAGGTCACGATCACCCGGGATGTTGTCTTCTACGAGGAGGTGAACTATCTGCAGTGGAAGGGAGCAGAGAAAGAGATTGCAGCAGCAGGGACAGCAACTGCACCGGACAAGGTGGAGGATCTTTTGGAGGAAAAGAAGAGTGAGGGAGTTGGGTATGAAGGAGATGAGGAACTCGAAGAAGTGGAACAGGCAGATTCAGTTGATTGGGTGTGGGAGAAAGCACCAACCAAGGAAGCGGGTGAAAACAAGGGAGTGGAGATAGCAGGGGAGCAGCCAAGCAATGAAGTAGCTGAGGGTGGCAATGATGAAGTGGCTG